GAGACTTGGACAGTGCAAGAAGCCAGGATGAGATTCTAGTAGATGCCTTCTCCCCATGTGCCATAGAAGCCTTTCCGTATATTGCTTTAGGCTCTGAAGAGCTCGTTCTGTTACCCCATCCCTGCACGGGAATACCTGCCTTTTACATGTGCGTGCCATGTTTTTAGTGCTTCTCTTGGAGGTAACGTTGTGGAGCAATGTTTACTGTTAAGTGTTTGCTGGAGAAATGCTGGGCAGAGATGCCAGTGAAGTTCTGGAGTGCAGTAGGGCCCTCGGAACTCACAGCTAGTCTCATGTCAGACTTTGGATGTCTTAAATCACTTCTTGGGCAGTGACTGATCCTCTGGCACTGCTTCAGCTGCTGCAGTTTTTGTACCTACATGCCATTGATTTCTTTTGGCCGCATGTTCCTGGATGTGAAAATCGATGTGGAATTCCAGTAAAAATGTACCTCTAAAGAGCAGATGTTCTTACAGACCATTTAAGAATAACTATTTAACATCTCTCTGGCAGAGTTGTCAAGTTCACCCCCAGGACCATACCACCAGGAGCCCTACGTTTGTAAGGCAGAGGAGCGCTTTAAATCACCACCTATTCTTCCCCCCCACCTGTTGCAGGTCATCCTGAATAAGGACACAGGCATTTCTGTGAGTATATCCGTTTGTTTTGCTGGAGAAGGGCCTTGAGGGTATGAACAGATGGGGAAAAACCTGGGTACAGACACGGGACAGGCAAGGAAAAACCTTAGAGTACTTGCCACGTTGGTAAATTCCATATGATGTATGTCCAGATACATCCATCTGAAGTACATTTATTTTTCTACTTTACTGTCTTCAAAATTGAAAAGAAAACCAGATTGCTATTCTACTCCCAGAAACCCTGATCTTCCCACTGCAACGCTGTTAAAATGTCAGAAGCACATAAGAAATAACTGAGGTCTGTTTCATGGTCGCAGTGAGGATGCAGAGGGTTTCACCCTGGAGGGATCTTGGGTTGTTCTGAAGCTTTGTCTACATTTGTTGATGGACTCGGCATAAGAAGCAGGGTGATGTATTTGAGGGTGCGGCTAGTTACAGACGGTGTTTGTCACCCATCAGCTGTGATGAGTAAACTGTGAGTTCTGTTATTTTCACACTGTCTCACTTCCTCTTTTTTCCAGTGCGATCCTGCTCTACTCCCTGAACCCAACCACGTCATGTTGAACCACCTCTACGCACTTTCTATCAAGGTGAGAGGCCAGGGCACATTCTTCACACTTGCAGCTTTTAGATAACCATGTAATCTGCTCACTTGTTTTCCATCTCCTGTAGGATGGAGTGATGGTGCTCAGTGCTACACATCGTTACAAGAAGAAATATGTGACTACTTTGCTGTACAAGCCAATATGAACGTCATCATAGTTTGTGACCAACTGTTCTGGGCTGGTGCAGTCTCAGAAAAAAAATTCTTCTCTTAACCAAATGTACTCCTGCTCTGTGCTGTAGCAAATGAACTCTGATTTCATATCATTTCTGAGACTTCCAGGTTTTCCTACATTTGCCTTATTTTCCCAGTCCCACCTTGGAAGTTCTTGGAGATGGCAGCTTCATGGCAACTAGTCAGATGGCAAAGGTGTTGGTGCCCATTGTCAGCTCAGTTAAAAAAATGCCAGTTTAATTAGGCTGAAAAATAGGGCAGCAACAGATTAGAGAGAGCGGGGCAGGCTGTAAGAAGTAAACAAGCCAGCCCGAAGTCTGGAAAGTTCAGTGTTCTTGTGGGCTCTTACTCGACCTCAACACTCAGCAAAAGCAAGCACTGCTTTCATAACTCATCAGACACTCAATTACTTCAGCAGCAAGTTCCAAACTTGCGTGGCTGAAATAAGTGTGAATAGTGATGATCTTGTAGCAGCCTTTCTAGGCAAGAACCAGCAACACAATCAGTGACCAGCTCATTTTTATTCTACGGTAGACTGGGGCGCGTTGTTTTTACCGTGAATAGCTCTGTAGTTTTTCTCTTCCTGAGAACTGAAACACAACTTCTCCCCTGTGGAATTTCTGGTGAGGACAATTGTTTTTAATGGCTGGATTTTTCTGTAACTGTGTCTTGCAGTAATCTGCTTTGTGAAACCAATTTCTCTTGCTGTCACTGATAAGGACTTCCTTAAGCTGGGATACCCTTAAGTAAGGCAATCGATGTATTCAGTTTAGGGATTAGTTCTCCAGTAACAGGCTGAAGGTGGCTGTAAGTCACCTCTGTTGCAGTTGCCAAACTTGCCCCTTGGTGTAAGCAGTCGCAGCGTGCTGGGTGCAGCAGCGCTGTGCCCGTCGGTGCCCAGGGCTGGAGCTGGGCCTCCGCTCCAGGTTGCGGCAGTGACCATGGCTATAAAACCCCTGGTGCTTCCGCAGCCAGGGCGGTGGGATCTCTGCAACTTTTTATTCTGTTTATATTTTCTAAATGATTGTTGTAACACCAGGTTGCCTGTACTTGGTACTCACAGCCTGTTTTATCCCAAAACAAATGCAACATTAATGCAAAACTGCCTGCCAGAGTGCCTCAGGCCTGCCCTGGAGGAACCAGCTCAGGAGGTGACCGGCTGCGTCCTTCCACTGTTTGCTGGTGCCTGCGAGTGCCAGTGAGTGTGCCAACGATAACCAGCCCCCGCCCCACTGTGGGGAGGAGCACACTGCACAAATCGGTGAGGAGTTTGAGTGGAGACAAAAGCTGGAGCAGCCAGCGTTCAGTGGAAGCAGCCACGGTGGAAGGGTGGTTTGCCACCCTCGGATCTGCTCTCTGGCCTTGTTGCAACATCTCGAGTCGTTCAGCAGATCTGGGTACAGTGCAATGGTTTTCTCTGAAAACTCTTTCTTCGTTCTGTGCTATGGATAGTACTTGGTATTCTGAAATAGGGATTTGCTTTTGTTTTCAGCTTCTTTAGAAACAAATAAAACATTTTCAAGAAAAGCGGGTGACTTGCTTCGTTATTGCCCTTCCCGTCTCTGGTAACCTCCGCTTCCTTCAGTTGTTAGTTCTTTATAACCTGTGATTGCCTGATGGCAGTTGTATGCCTCGGGGGATTGCACAAGCTTTTCATTCATAGATGTAGTTTGAAACACTTTGTCTGCTGGCAGTTAATCAGTGAAGACAACGAGGGAGGTGTCAGTGTGCATGTGTGATGCAAAGCGTGCAGGAAGAACAAGGGTCCAATGACTTACAAGCTCCGGTGGTCAGTTCCTTAGGGCTGGGAAAGTTGGTGTTGGCCTTCAGCCTCCCGTCAGCTTCTCTTTGTTCCAGCCAGCCACACTTAAGGCAGACCTTTTTTTTCCCCAAGCCTTTCTCCTCGGCGGTGTGTAATTGTAGGTTGGATGTGGTGTGTGGTGTCACAGGCCCATGTGGGGCAGTGGATGGGGCTGTGCAGCGGGCAGCCCTCTGTAATACCTGTTAGCACCAGGAAGCGCTGCCTCGTGAGGAGGTGGGGGAGGAGGCTGAGGGACGTGTGATCGGTGCCAGTCGGGCAGGCAGGACGTGTGCTCTGCCGGGCAGGGAGGTGGAGGTTCCTCTTAGCTTGACCTGTGGTTGTGTCAGGCCAGTAGAAAGAAAAGATCCGTCAAAGGCAAGGGAGAGCAAGTTGGAATAGTGCCAGGTCACTAATTTAACGGGTTTGCCTTTTGTTGAAACGTAAACTCAGTCAACAACACCTAGACGGATGTTTAAATGCTGGTAGATAAACGTGTGACCGCTGCCGTTCTTTGTCAGTTCCCTGCCATTGAGAAACCTGATGCTTAAATACTCTTCAGTCACGATGTTAAATAACGGCTTCTCCTTCCGTAGCAGCATCAGCGAAGCTCCACCGGTTCCCCGTGTCTTGTTGGGCACTGGGGCTGTTGCACGGAAGCGGCGTGGTGGGGTCTCTCGGGGCGTGCTCTGCTGCTGGCATAATAAAAGCGGAGGTGGTCCGTGGCCGGCGCCGTTAGCGTTAGGGCGCTGCAGGGGGCTCGGGGCTGGCAGCGTCAGCAGTTGCGGGCAGGGGGGGCCCCGGACCCCGGCTGCGCTGGCGCCTTTGCTCGGTGTGTGCTTCGGTGCTGTGGAACAGCCGGCGAGGGCGTGTGTGCAAACTGAGGCTGGTTGGCAGGGTGAGCGTCAGCAGAGGAGAGGTGAGGGTTGGAAGGGATTTTTCAGCTGTGTGTATTTGAAGAGACGTGGCTGCATTGGCAGACAGAAGTCATGCAGCGAGTCCGCTTAAATGCTTTTAGTGCCAGCAGGGAAGTGACAGCGCAAGTTTCTTATTTGAATGACCTACAAGTCTTTTTTTTTTGCTAGAAGAAAAGAGGAGCTTAATAACTTTGGGGCTTGGGGGTTTTGGTTTTTTTTCAGTTGCAAAACAAATTTTTCACAACTCAAAGACTAAAGCAGAAATGGAGAACAGGAAGGAAGGTGAAGGAAGGAGGACTTGGTCTTGTTCTTGCTAAGCTTTGTGGATTTCCCCCCCGCCCCTTACCCCCCAATTACATCTATGCAGACTCACTCCAGGTTTTTCATCAGTGTCAGTATGATGGAACCACAGGACAGAACCAAATATTTTATAGAAAGGTGGAGGTTTTCTTGTGGTTTGGTGGTGTGGTTTTGTTTTGGTTTTTTTTTATTTGCAGCCTGTAGCCATGGCTCAGATGGTGAGGAGCACATGGTGTCCAGTGGCACCTCACCATCAGCTTTTGCAGCCCAAAACAAAAGCTTTGTTTGCCTCAGAAACCAGGGTGAGGGCCCAGGCTTCGTGCCCTGCTCAGCACCTGAGGGCTGGCAAGAGCAATTAATTGGTCTGTGATCACCTCCACCTTTCTCCGCCCATTGGGCTGAGCGAGAGCAGGGGCCTGAAGGCCCAGGGCCTCTCCCAGGCAGGGGCAGGGCAGGTGACAAAGGTGGTGGTGACCTCGACTCACAGTGAAGGAAGGGGTAGGCTGGTGGGTTTGGTTTGCGCTGTGGGGTGGGGTTTGGGGTGTCGGTGGTGGTGTTGCTGGGTTTTTTTCTGCTTGACAGGTGAATGAATTAGATCAATCACCGTGTTCCCTTACTGTAATGGGATGAATCAAATCCCTCCAAAGGCAGGAAGCTGGATCAAGAGTTGGATTTATTAGCTCGCTTACATTCCACACCCACAGCTCCCAGGCTGTGCTGTTATGTTTATTCTTGGCTGTTGCTAGGAGAGCACTTTTTTTTTATTTTATTTTTTTTATTTTTTTATTTTTGAAGGTAGATGCAGAGATTTCAGTTACAGTCGCTTTCGGGACTCTTGGGCAAGCCGTTACATTCTGTGGCTTTGGCAGAAATAGCAAGAGCTCCCTGCCCTCCCCGACCCCCTAAATTCCAGCACAGCGTGCGGTGGTGAAGCTGACCGTGGATTTGTGCAGGGTTCTTGGTAAGCAAAAGGCTCAATAAGTAAATTTTTTCTTTTTTACTCCACCAGTTTCTGGATTATTTTTTTTTGTTTTTGTTACAATTCTGATCATGCATCATAGGACTGCAACAATGAGCTTTAAATAAGTATTCTTTGTGCACAGTAAAATAGAACTAAAGGAACATTTAACAAGTTAGCAGTTCATCATATACATCAGATGGTAGGCACAATCGATAACTCAAGCAGCTTGGGTTTTATGGAGAGCATTTCCATGAAGAATGTCATGTAGACCAAAATGTAAGAGGAGCTATTAGTAACCCGCCCCCACACCCTCCAACAAGCCCTTGCTTGGGAGTAAGGGGGTGGGCGTGTGCACAAAACCAAAAACACCGAACAGTAGGAGGACAAATTAAGTTACTGTAGGCAGCAGCGTGAATATTAAAAACCTCTTCCTGTGAAAGAATACTTCAGACCCTGTAAAAACTGGTTCAGTTAAAAATAGATGTATTTACATTTAAGTCTGATCTAGCAAGTTTTCCCAGCAGGTGTAAGTTAAGATGTACAGTAACTGCAGGTTGTACTCAATCGGACTCGATTTGTGAATGTGTGGTGGTTTGGGTTTTGTTTTTTCTTTAAAGTTGCAGCTATTAGGCCTTAAAGCACCAGCATATTACAGCAGAGGGATGAGTAACTCTCTCCGTCCGCTTTGCTACCAGTACACTGCTGGGATGAATCCCAAACCTGTCAGTTAGATCACACTATTGGTAATTAAGAGGTTGGTTTTGTTTTTTTTTTCCAGCTCAAGATGTGTGGGTCGTTTGCCAGGGCGAGATTGTTTTCCCAGATAGATACTCACGTGTCTCACCTCTACCCGTGTCACTAGTTAGGTATGCGAGGGCAGAATTTAGCTGTAGGTGTTGGCAGCTGACTGCTGCTATAGTAAAATATTTGGACAAATCCACCTGTTTTAGTTTCTTATGGACATGCTTTGTTTTTTTATGAAGCCACTTATGCTACTTGGTCAGGAAATAACAACTATTAAGATGCTAAATATTGTCAGGGTTAGCTCTTTGGTAAGCTCTGATGCCTGTAGATTACACAGCCTCTAACACTGGGTGCAATGGTGGGATGGCTCCGTGTTACTCTGCACAGAAGGAAGCGTTCATTTCACCATGCCAGTCAAGATAGTTATTTGTTTTATTTGGTTATTGTTCAACAACAAAGTTCAATACTTTCCAGGTGGAGCGTTGAACTGTCCCTCTGGTTCCCTCCCTTGTCAATAATAAAAAGGTAATGAAGAAAAATCCTGTACTTTGAGACCTAAAACCTTGTTTATGCTAACAAGCTTCAATTGCAATTTAATGTTACAATATTTCTTCATGGGAGCGAGGAGGACTAAGCTGAGGCCCCTCCAGTGTCTGAAGATGGCTGTCCACAACCACCATTAAAACAAAAAGCTCGTGTTGAAAAACGCACAGTTTACAATAAAAAAGTAGAAACCAATTCAATTCCCTTTTGTTACGAATATAAAGTTTCTTGTAAATATGTACAGTCCTTTGAGCTATTTCTATAGCAGGAAGCATTTCACGAACAAGACACAAGATATACACTTGCAGGACTCGACAAGCCCCTTTCTGAGGTCTTGAAGATCTCCCATGAGATGCAAAGATTTAAAGACTGATCTCAGTGACCTTTCAAAATATTCAGACCAGGAGACAAAAACTTTCAGCAAGTTTCCTGCCAAGTCATCTGATCTAAAATAAACCAACAGACAAGAGAACGGAATACAGTAGTCATGGAACTCGCCAAAGGACACTGACAAGGCATTTGAATTGTTATGGGGTTCTAGAACAGGTTAGCACAGGCTTGCAAGGGGCTAGCAGGAGTTTAAGAGTGTGGCCAAGGGAAGATTGGATGCAGTTTTGCTCTTTCCAGTTGTAAAGAACATGGTTGTTCACTCAGAATGTTGCTATTGCAGACTGAATGGTCAAAACCTGCTTTGAAAATCATTTGCTCTCTGCTTCATGTTCACAGCAAAAGAGAATAGAAAGCAATAAATGGCTCGAGGTTAGATACGCAGAAGCAAAGGCGAAGGCGCGTTCAGTAACCGCTAAGCTGTTCATTGTGAGTATCCTCTTGTGCCACGACATGTGGTGCTTATTGTACGACAAGTTACAGGCACGGGAGGAGCCAGCCCTGGGCTGCTCCTCTCGGGGGACCGTGGGACTGGCAGGACTGCGGTGACATTTCTGCAGGGACCGTGTTCAAGGCTGAGAGGCGAACACAAGTGTGACTGTAATTCTTGTCATAGAATAAGGCTCGTTAACTCTTCGTTGCCAAATTCCCAGAGTAATTAACGGTTATTTTGCAGCGTAATCTAAAGGTTTCAGTTAATTTACAAGTGAGGTACAATACACTACTCAGCAAAGCAACCTAAAAGGAGAGAGCAGCCAGTGATGGTGCAGCAGCATGCAGTGAACTGTCATGCAGAAGACCTGGATAAAGTCTTACACCCCAGTAGCTTACAGGTAATGCACTTTGTCTCGGGGCTGGGCACATGGGATCGTTTAAAGCGGGGTTCTTCCCTCCCCATCAGAGCTGCTCTGGAGCAATTTTAGTGAGAACAAAATAACTTTCAGAAGTGGCAGGTGAACAGACTAGTCACAAGTTATTTTTCCTGTGGAGAATATCCAATCAATCACAGCTATGGAAAGGCTCGCTCACCTCGGCCCTTCTGCTTCCAGGCCATCGGGAGTTCCCAGCACGTCTCAGAACTACGACCAATTATCTGGTAAGGGGTGCTAACCACGTTAACGACCTGGGGTGGGACTCTAGTCCCCTTTAATTTCCTTGATGAACTACTAGGGACTAAAGTGAATACAAAAAGTTCATGAACTGCTTGAAAGAGTAACAGTAGTACAAAGTGCAAAAACAGGAGTGCAGGAAAGTGCAGAGAAATTAACTGAGATGTGAACAATCTTCAGAAGCGTCACGTCTCCCGAGGCGGCGCTAGCTTTGGCCCAGGAATGGTTTTGGTAACTGGGCAGCAGACATATGGAGCGCGTATACTCAGTATATTTCCTTTTTTTTTCCTGCAGGTCAAGACGAGTAACTCTGTCTAGCTGAGACTTACACTGAAGACTGGTCCCAGACCTGGCGGGGAAATAAAATGACAGTTACAGGTTGCACAAGTTTTTCCTCACACAGGCACAGGTGCCAGCAGCAGTCCAGCACCTGACTGCTGCTGCTGCTGCCGCCGAGCAAGGGCCCTGTGCCTGCCTGCTTCTGGGTGGCGCAGCTCTGACAAAGGCAAGCACTCTCAGCAGCACTGTGAACACAGCAGGCTCCCACCTTCCCTTCTCCAGGCAGTGCTCCCCTTCAAGTCCTCAGTAACTTGATTTCTCTTGGTAGATGCACCTTTGCTTTCAGATCTGGAGGACCTCAGCCCTTTCCAGAGTCAAGCTGCTTCTGCAGCTGCAGAATTAGCACAGGGGAGGTGCTAGTGGGGCCAGTGAGTTACACCACACGTGCTCTGTTTTAATAAGCGTTGAGGCGGGGCTGGGATTTGATTTGCTCTTGTACCTCACAGTGCCACCAGCTCTTCTGTGGCACATGCCTCCTCCTAAGAACAGAAGAGATCTCCAGGCCCCTGACTTACCTTATTGACTTGAGCAAGAGGAGTTCTGGCACCGCTCACAGGCATTCGTCCTCGGCTGCTCTCTTCGAAGAGTCTTCCAGGGGACCTTTCTCTGCGGGTGCTCAGAAGCCGGCCTGGAGATTTCTCCCTCTCCAGTGGTCGCCCAGGTGACTTGTCCCTCCGCAACTCTGTCCTTCCCTCGCGGTACCGATGTGGTGTGCTTGGTTCTCGAGGGTGGCTTGGACCTTCTGGTGGTCCTGGGCTTGACGCTACCCGCTTGGTTATGTGCTCGTTGTATGTGGGCGGACCTCTCTTGTTAGGGCTACTGTCATTCAAAAATAATGGACGCGAACAGCTGAGCGACAAAAACCTCACGTTACATTTTCTTTTAGCAGAAATGTAACTTCCCCAAACACCCAGCAGTGTTTAGGTGAGAACGTGTCAGACCTCCCTGAGCCAAGATGAGAACCACAAAGATACTTTGATAGCTGAGTATTCGTTACATTAGCAGCACTTGTCAAGCGCCTTGATGACTTGCTAATGTAAGTAAGTCCATGCTACGTAAGAGGCCAGAAAACTACACGTTCTCATGCACTTCAGCAGCGTGCTTTTCCTCACACTCAAATTCAACATCTGCCTTCTCACGTGCAACATTTTCCATAGCTCCAGGATGGTCAGGCCAGGGCAGGATGAACTACAGGCCTAGGTTCCCAATGCACAGTGGCACTGCCAACCCCAGGCTGAAGCATCGCTGTTCTGCTGAACAGAACATGATCACCTCACCACTTCCCAATGCTGTCTCCCCAAGGCACACTCATTATTTAGGAGGAAGGGGCTCTTGCTTTACCGATTGTTATTTTTAACCATTTTTATCCAATCCATGTTTAGTGTCAATGAGCACCTAAGCTCACCAAGCTTTGAAGTCGCAGCTATATCACACCATAAAAGTAAACCAGCTGGAGATCACAAAGCACAGTGGAGATTACCCACGTGCTTCTACAGATTTAATGTTTCTTTGCCTTCTGGACTTTAAAATATGAGTGACTCTACTCCTGGTTCCATTCCAGCATGACAATAATTGGCTAACGCCAGCCTGTATCTCTGAGAGTGGAGCAAGGGCGTCCCACGTTTGGGGGGAAAAAGCCGCCTGGAGCGGGGTTTGCTTACAGGGTGCACAAGGCCCATAACACACGGACTTTGTATACCTGCGCGTAGCAGAAGATCCTCTGTGGTGCTGCTCATTGTTGGTCTCCTTCACTAGATTGCCCTTACAGCAAATCACCCTTAATTTGTCTTGGTAGGAGGAGGCCAAGTAGATAGCTCCAGATGAGATTGCAGGCCCTAGATACCGTGGATTTGGTATCTCCAAGTGGGCTCGTGCAGGAGTTCTAGGTAAAATTTCAGGAAAAAGTCTTACAATGACAACACTGCACCTTTTCCAGGGAAGTACACATGTTCTCGCAGCACATGCTGTTCGAAGTAATGAAAAGAGAACAACTTACCCTAGAGAAGCTCGTGCCTGAATCTCGATGACTTCAAGGGAATTGAAGTGGGTCACAAACAGATAGGGCTCCCTGTAGGCTGAATGAGCATCACAGAGGGAAGAAAAACACAAAATAAAATTCTCTATTAAAAACTTCTCAAAAGCATCAGGGAGCACAACAGAGGCTCACAGCCCCTTGGGAAAACTACGGGGATGTATTTTCTGTAATAAGACAGACATAGACACTCTTACTACATAGGGAGCTGCGAGCTTAAAGAACGATTTCTGCTTTGATATTATCTGCATCTCAAGAATTTTACTAACCAAAGTATCACAAAAAAGGCACTAAAACACAACTACAACTGAACAAAATCGCATTAGGTAGGGGGACGGGCCTGCGGGAACCACACAGACATTGTCAATTCCTGACATTTTCAGAAGCTTCCAAGAATCATTAAACATTCCACTAGCCCGTTCAAGCACTGCCAGCCTAGGAACGTTAAGGAAATACAACTTTGGTTTAGTGATACTTTAGTTGATACTTCAGAAGGTTGGCCATTGGGATTTATAATGATCTGAAATCATGGGGAAATCTCCATAGTTTCCAGGAGAATTGGGAGAGGGGAGAGGAAACGGAAGCGCTGAGTGAAGACCACCCATCCCACAAAGACGCTGCCTGGTTTCAGCAATTTCCATAATGCCAGTGAATGTCCCTCCATACCTACCAAAAGCTAAGGGCAAGCGATTCCATTTCAGGTCATCTGTCCTACTGCGTCTTCCATAGGAATCCACAAAGACACCAAACTCTGCCAAGAAAGAAATGCCATGTCATGAGCACAGGCCTGATTTTTATTCATTTATTTTTGACGGGACAGAGGACCCTGGGCTTTCGGACATGGTGCTCTCTGTCTTGCAGCTCCTACAGTGCCGTGAATTACCCTGAATTGCCATTGACTTGGCTGGATGTAGGAGTACTTGTGGTCCCAAAAGGTACTGCAATTCTAGGGCTCTCTGTACCAGTTAAGGTAAGGTTATTATTTAATCTTTATAATATATAATTTAATTATATAATTTACTGTTGGGAAGACCTATGAGACTCTTACTGTAACTCACCCAAAGTTACTGCTCGTGGGCTTTTGAAGACTTCCCATGCATTTCCATGACACTATGCTGGAAGGCCAATAAAAGCAGCCATATGAAAAAATATCACCCTCTCTTTAGTCTCATCTGTCTGCATGGAAACCAGACAAGAATGCCACAGTTTGAAAACCCCTTAACATTTTATCAGGATAATCAAACACCTGTCTGCACTTCACATTGACTGCAACCCCTCGCTTTAAGCACAAGCCTGCTTGCAGTGGCTGATCCACAGGCACGGAGAACTTTTTAAGCCGGAAGCAAGCTGACCCAAAGCACCTCAGCAAGTGCTATTTTGATGCCAATGTGTGTGTGTTACGTTTAAACCATCGGCCTCTTCCTGGGCTTTTAGATCCACAATGTTCAACAAATATTCCTTACCAGGTACTAGAAAGTCAACTCTGTTCAGCTTTCCTATACACCAGTACTTGGGTACCTTCTGACAGTACACGCACCAAAGATGCACAACGCTTACCATGGAAACACAGCAGATACTCCTCCCTCTGCCCCGTTGGGTTCACTTGGATGATACTGACTGGAAAACTGTTGGTGGAAGCAGCAAACACAGCAGAGGCCAAAGTGTGGTCATTTTTATCCAGAAACTCTGCAAGGAGAATGGGGAAAACAAGCCTGATCAGCACCAATTTTTTGTCTCTAAACTGCTCTACAAAAGCCCCACCAAAAGAATCTGGTGGAGCCACATGGTGCGTTCCTCAGGAAATGTCTCCTACCCTCCAGCGTATACTGCTTCATCTCAATCTCATAGAATTTGTTGGTTCCAATGATGATGCTGTAAGTGGTCAAATGGATGCAGCTGCAAGGCTCAGAGGTTTCGATCTCCTGGAAAAGAGGAGGAAAATGCAGACCAATATTAGTTCCCTGTAACAGTTTACAGATTTTTCTTCATTTGGAAGATTATATATTGCCACATTTGTCTCTTTAAAGGGGAGAGACAGCAACCTCAGAGTCACTTAACTGTCTCTCAAAAGCAAAGCATCTCTGCTGTTAACGCTTACAAAATTAGCTTGATGGCTCCTTAAGCAAAAGGAAGACAAACGTACCCAATCTTCCTTCTTTGCACAACGTAACACAGATACGTTGTCTGCCCTGATTTGCACTGTGATTGAACAGCTAGGATAGCTCTGCAGGTTAGCCTGACACACCAAACCAACCCCCAGATCTTCTGAGGACAAGATTCCTTGCATAATTCCTAGTTTATCTGGAAATTTAGTTGGCAGAACAGAAGAACATATTCTGGGCTTGCTGCCATCTTGTCAGGATCTAAATTCAGTTGTCTGGATTAGTGAAGATAAGGCGAATCTGCCTTCCAAAACACGCCTTTACGCGGTTTGTATGTAAGCCCTTGTCAAGGCACCCGGCGCTATGGAGGTGAACAGCAGCACTAGCAGGGGACGGCGACTGTGAGCGAGAGTTGATACCAGCTCCAGTGCTTGCCCATGTTCCAGGTTTGCTGGCACGTGCCAAGATCCCCTCCACCAAACACATCTTTGCTTACTCACTGTGCTGACGCTGCTTCCTTACAGCAGTGCCAGGGTAGCACTCAGTGGGGATAAAAGCCTCAGCCCAGCTGTAAATTGAACCAGCGCCTCCACAGTAACCTGCAGATGCTCACAGGGATATGTAGTTTGACCTGAACATCCCCTAATTTCTGAGTTGGAAAGGAGATGAGTTTCTGGGTAGCAGCCTGTTTTAAGGTGGGAAGTGTTTAACCTCTGTTTGAGGAGAGGTCCCTATTTTGTTTTTTTCTGGATGCATACGAGCATATAAAATTTATTCATGAGATTTCCTTGCACTTGTCTTTGAGAGCACGAGTGGATTAGATGGTCAGAGTGTTATCTGCCTGCAATTTGCTGTGTGAAGAAGAGTCGCCCTCGTTCTGCTTCTCATACCCAAGCACGGCAGAACGAAGCAGTGCAGGTACCAGCGCCGTACAGTCCCGGCGTTGCAGGCAGACAGGGTTCCATACCGAGGAGGGGCACACAGCCATGTGAGATCCGTATCTCACTGCCTTGTGTGCTGGCTGGGAGAAAGTACACCTGTACTGGGGGGAGTGTGAGACAGCTGCCTATCCCAGGACAGAACCACACCAAATGCCCTTTGATCTTTCCTGGTACAGTAAACAAATCCCGATCCCCACTGCTTCCTTACTTGCAAAGGAGAGAGAGGTTGTGTGTTACGGATTTCTGCAAAGACAGCAGAGGTGAGAGAACACTGCTGGGTAATTGAGAAGAAAGCCTTTTTTGGGGTAAATAAGCGAGGGTATGATTACAGCTGAGTCCAGTATCTAAAAAAATCACAGTTCTGTTCTGCATCTCTCCAAATATGCCAACTCTTATTAAAGGAAATTGCTGCCTACTCCCATTTTAGTCAGTGCGCGTTGCTATTTGCTATCACTTCAGCTGACAAACAAATGTTCTTACGCATGCACAAAGGTTTAAGATGTTTGCTCCAAAGCAGAGGCTTAGTGCAGTATGCGAATTACCTTAGCTACCGAAGGGAATTACTAAGCTTACCTTTCTGATACAGAACTTGCTCAAGCTCTCATTGTATCGCAGAACAACCACTTTATTGGGCATGGCTGCACAGATACAAAGACCATTCTCAACCTGTAGGGAAGATTACAAGCATAGCTCAGGGTGGTAACAGAGAGTAAATCCTAGTGCTGAGCGTGTGAAACTGATCCAAGTACCTTTGCAGAGATAAGCAAGTACATTTTTAATAGGGTAGTTATTGTCAATTAGTGAAATCATGAAAAGCCTCTTCACATTCTCAAAAGAGAACATGAATTTGAACTGCTTCTACGATTTATTTTATACTTTAAAGAAGTTAATAACAAATTTGAAGGTTTTCCACAGAAAAATGTTTCACTAAAAGGGATAAGAAATTCACACAGGTTAGGTCTAAATCTTAACCCCTGAAACTATTATCTTAAACATCACTTTGAAATGAATGACATTCAGTTTGTTATTAAAGTAGTCTGTAGAAGTAACTGTTAATGAGAGTTTTTGCTGTGGCCGAATGTTCCATTCTAAAACTGGGAATTAATGTAAATATCAAGTGTTATCAAGTGACGCAAACACCTAAGTAAATTTGCTAGCCTGGAAACAGTTACATGGCATCCAAGAACAAACAGTGGATGGAATTCACTAATTATAAATCTCAAAATTGAAGTCAGCTGTGAGGAGGCAGTTACACTATACTATGCCGTATTTCTTATTAGGTAGCAGCTTAGGCTATACCGTCCTGTCATCCCGACTGAATTTATTCATATTAGCAGAAGATCCTCCCATACTGTCTCCAGCTCAGCCCCTCTTCAGCCCCTATACTCTTCTTATTTGAAGAAAAAGATTTAAACCAAGAATGTTTCACTGGCAACAAAACCAAGGTCTATAAAGATGCTGATTTCATTAACACTAAACTCAATGCAGTGTAAAGGGTGCTCTGGGGGCACGAGGGAGCTGTATCCTACCTTGCCAGCAGCAAAAAGGTGACATCCTTTGACAGCCTCAAAGACGTTTGGCGAGATATCAGGCTGGGCTGGGAGGTGAGACTGGGCTAGGGATTGCTTCACTTTCTTTACATCGACAAGACACAGAGCCCTTTCTTCTCCTGGAAACAAAAATGGTTACATTTTGTCAAGGGAGAAGTCCCTATTCTCTACAGAAGTCTGTTCTGTTACCTAAGCAGCAGCGTATCATTACAGGCTGTTACTGTGGTAACAGTCACAATGAACCATGTAGAGTTCATTCCATATTATTCCCATTAAAAGTGAAACAGAAAACTTACAAAAACCCAACCACACAACAGGCACTAAATCCACCAGGAGAACAACCATTCTTTCTGTGGATTATTAGTGTTGCTAAGGTCTAGCAGATCACAATAACAGTGGCCTCATTAGGACACTATTCAAAATGAGCCAGGAAGTTTTATTTTATCCTGCAGAACCTCTTAAAGTAAAAGGTGCTTTAGCCTCTCTGCACCACGGAACCGGCAAGGGATTTCCAAGAAGTGCCCTAATAAATTGTGTTACAGACCAAGGCCCATTCCTCTCAGAAGTCTAGCGGCACAGTAACACAACCTTCTCCTAATTCTGTGTGAGATTTTCTTTTTCCAGTTGTTTTTTTCTCTATCACCCTGACACAAATAAAGCAGGGACAGCTTAAATCTTTACCAGTGGGAAAATGCAGAACAAACAGAACAAGAGGGAGACTTTGTTTTTCATTCCCTACAAATGCCATAATAGACACTTGATAATTTGGGCTTTCAGATGAAGATACGCCCTAACGTTCAGCATGCTAAAGTCAGTGTAGGAAGGATTATCTCTGGAAAACCACAGATGGAGAGATTAAAGCTGGTGTTCCTTTCGTAAGAGAATCTTAAACAAAGCAGAAAGAAGTCCCAATTTTGTTACATGGATGAGTGTTTAGAGCAAGAGAGGTTAAGAGTTGTTGGCCCTAGCCCACAGTGACCACATTCTGGTCCTCAAATGGTTAACTACTTTAAAAAGAAAGGTTACGTAGTGATCAGGAAGAGAGAAGCTCACTGATCAGCTCGACACTTTTTAAAATTGAACTTAAAATGATGATGAACCCCTGTGCTGGTAATGTTTTGTCTCTGGTTCCTCCCTCCCTTGGCTTCAGAAACTGTGAAATCACTTTCTTGTGAACTCAGCCTTCATTCACATACTCATTTACAAAAAAGCCTCAGACAACACTGTGCTAACCACAGTAATCGCATCCTGACAACATCCTGATAAAAAAAAGGATGAGTACTGAATCTAAAGGGCAGCCTGGCCCTTTGGCACCACAGTATTCCTGGCGGGACAGAGCAATTACCGTGTATTTACTGCAGGACAAATGGGAATGCATAGCCCCCTACCCGCTATCATGAGTAGCTTCTCCAGATCCTTGATGAGGTGAATTTGGAAGACGGCACCCATTCCTGGGATGTGCGTTAAGGAATTCTTCAGGACATTCAGGGCATAGAGACCTTCTTCTGCACCCACCAGTACAACCTACAGTGACAAGAGGAAAGAAATAAAAAGGAGGGGAACAAGGAACACTCCAAGAGCAAACGTGGACAATACTGTCACTGTTTACCAGTGAAGAGAAAAACCCACCCAACAAACAAGTAGATAATTGCACAAACAGCTCTTAAGATACCATTCCATGGATGAAATACCCAATACTCAGAAAGGCCCAACTGAATATTATCATTACCTGGTCACTGAAGGGCATTGTGCAATTTATATCCAAACGGTCTTCACCTTCCAGCTTCAGCAGGGAGTTTCCAAGCAATTTCTGCAAATGACAAAAAATATGGGTTTTTTGTTGAGTTAATCTTTTTCTCTATCGATATTTTAACAATGTTAAGGTCATCATTTCAGACAGGCAAAAAGCTTGGCACAGATTTCTTTTTCTCAGAAAGCTAAAAATTGCAGGGATATGGCCTACAAATTAATTGGTAAACTTTCATCTACCTGAGACAGAGTCAGGCAAACTGACCAGAATTGACTTAAACTCCAATAGAGCCTATTGTTGTCCCTATCCTTTCCACTTCTCCCAGTCTCCTGCAATGGAGCCGTGAAATTTTCCTAGGGGAAGGATTAAAAAAAAAATGCCAAATGTTGGTGGGAGCGTGTATTTTCCTCAGAGACACAAGGAATGGTAGCATGAGAAAAGAGAAGATTTCCCGCTAGTCAGACATTCCCTGCCTCCAGAGCTAACAGTCGAATATGCAATGCCATAGAATCAAATCTCCCTTTATCAGAAAATAGCGAGTTATCAGTGCAACAATGATGAAAAAGGCTATCCAAACCCAAAACAAATGCATTTAACCTCTTATTCCTATCAGGAATAAAACTTAAACTAAAAACCACACACACCACCCCCCCCAAGAAAGAAAAACACCCCGACTCAGTAAGAATGGGAGAGGAGGGAGCTTTTTGCTTGTTTCTTTCTTTGAGGTTTGTTCATTCGATGCAGTACATTATGAGATTGGATTTAAACCATGTCTTAACTGCTCGCTCTTCCTTTTCTGTTAGCTGGAATTAGAGAGAGATCATTTGGGGATCCTCTTGCTATACTCCCCAAGACCAAAGAAAGGTGTTACAAGATAAAGCATCAGGCTCACAACGATCTGGTCTCCAGGTACTCGTACTGTCCATCAGAAGGCAGAAGTAATAACTTACCTTCAGTTAAACCTCAGTATGTCAAATACTGAAAAATTATTTTTCAAAACTCTGCTCCCTCCCAGAATATTTTATTATTAAATGAAACTTTTATACTCACAGCATCAGCCTCAGCTTTTTCTCTGGAAACTCTCCCACCTGCCACTATTGATTCCAGTGCTGTGACCCAGCGCTGTTTGTCAGGGAAGCTGGGTGCTAACAGGTAGAGTGTTCTACCAGGCCAGCAAGTGGTGTGTGGATGAGACTCCAATTTTAGGATATATGGCACATCTGAGATGTTATATAGATAGAATAAGACTTAGATTAGTTTTTGGAATATTGTCAGTGGACTTAAAATCAACACCTTTCAGCCTCATTGGAGAGAAGTTGTATTTATCATGATGTGTTACCATGGCAATTTATACATAGGCTTCTCCTTTACAGGTCCTGCACAGGCTAGCTACTTAAAGCTAAATATTAGCTGGATGTACGTAACCCATCCATACAATGCTGTCTCTACTAAATAAAAATAATATCTTGCCTTTTATTCAAAAGAGAAAGACCATTGTGAAAAAAAGTGCAAAACCAGCCACTTGACTAAAGTTTTCCCTGTACTGTTCAAGAAAAATCTGTAAAAATTGGTTATGGAAACCTTTGTTTTTAACAATCTGTGTCCTTTAATGTTAAAGTCAAGACATACATAATCTTTTCATCAGTTCTATTCAATACATACAAATCAAAACATCAACATTTTTTCATAATAAGAGACTGTATACACCCCACAGTATTCCTAAGGCAATGACTTTCTGGTTAGAGCACAGTGGTGGCATGAATTATGACACTTCACACTTGATAGAGAGCGTTGAGAGAAGAAATTTAAATAAAGCGAGTGCTTTTAGGTATGTTACAAAACTCTGAAAATTTACTTCCATTTGGCTTCATGATTATATTATTCACAGTTCAACTACCATGACAGAAGCAACCACCTATGTGTAACTAAATCTAGATGACTGACTTATTCACCTAATTCAAATAGAGGTAACCTCAAAATTACACAGTTACAGAGTAGAAGTTAAAGGGAGAAAATTCTGTTCAGCCAAACAGAAGGCAACTGATGGCAAGCCAGATGAAATCCATTTGACCTCATCTACATAAGATTCTCACCTGTCTTTGCTGTATTTGTAAGTTCAGTGGCTCCTACAGCTCCATGAACTGTTACATCACCATCGGGAAGGCAGAGCTCAAATTCCTCCAGAGGCCTCTGTCCAGCTGCAGGGAGAATGGGGAGAGACGTTAAGAAAGAAGAACAAACAAGTAAATGACAAGAAAATAATCGTGACAGCAAAATGAAGTGGACACACTGGATGTTCCACAGCTGCATTATTACGACGTACCAGCTAGTAAAACTGCTATGGATTTAGGAAAACAACAACGTTGCCTTATTACAGAAGATTCAGCTAAATTACGTATGGCCACAGCAAACAGTAACAATCGTTAAGCCTCTCAACTCACCAAACAATACCTGAAGATTAATTAAAAAAAAAAAAAAAAAGTTCTTCCTAGAAATGCTAAGTTACCTTCTCTTGCTTCTGCATCATAAATGAGCACTTTCGTTCCCTCCAGGACAATATACTTCCTGTCCCAGCCCTGTTGCCCACGTTTATTATTCCTGAAGAAAATAAGCACAAAGCCATGTTGGATTTTCTGCTTGGATTCTGACTAAAACAAGCATGCAACTCCCAGAAAGACGAATCCCAGTGGCAATAAATAACTGTAATGGGCATGTACCGATTATCACATTGTAAGAGCCAGGATAACATAAGGAACTGTTCCAAATGTTTCAGCACCTGATATGGCACCACGATTCAAGCTTATACCTTGGCACTTTCATCCATCCTTCAAGACGTAGACTGCTGCTTGGCTCCTTCAGCTGCAGACCGGGAGAATTCATTTTATCCCGGCAGAACGCTTCAGAGAAGTGCGTGGCATATTCTGCTGGCAGTCCACAAGTAGCTGGCAAGCAAGTTGAGCATTTTGGGTGACACATCACCTGGCATTCTGACAAAAGGACAGAGAAAAACTTCTGTTAAATGACAAAAAAAGTCATGACACAGCTGCCTCAACTTCTAATGCACAAACCCCGGCTTCTCCAAGAACCTCCTTCTACTCTAAACCATCACATGCTTTCTAAGGTAGAACGTTTGCACCAACTAGTTTCAAAGTCTTCATACTTGGTCCTTTCTTCAGCTTTCACTGAATATCTGTTCTAGATGGATGCTGCTTTTTCGTTCTACCATGCACTTACACTTTGTTTATGCACACACGCTGCTCTTACCGAGACATTTAGATGCTTGTCGTCCAAAGTGAACAGTATCCAGACACACCGCACATTTTGTTGCTCTCATATTTAGCCCCACATTAAAACGATGTGGGATATTATGATGCATTCGCTCTTTCAGGCGTCGGCTGTACTCTGAAAGGGAGAGAATTTATTATGAGGATGAGAATGGTGATAAGGATGAAAATTATAGTAGGTTTTGTCATTTTAAGGCCAAGGTAATATAAAGTGGCTATTTTTAAAGCGACATTCCCACCTCAGTAATTACCTTATACAGATGCACAGAATGTGCTGCTTGAGAACAGACTGTAGAACTGAAACGGCTAATGTTTGGTGTAGCAAGATTATGTCAATCAAACCATCTACATTTCAAGTCTGCACTCAGTTCCAATTCTTACGACGTGCTAAACTAATCTCTCAATTTTGCTTATAGCTAACAAACCCTTCAACACCTATACTGTTGTAATCAATACACAGCAGGCCGCCTTCATGCTAACCATCAGTGCCAGCATATCTTAGAGCATACCTAAAATCCCTGTCAGTGGATCTATATCGAGCAAAGTTTATCCTCAAGGCATGGTCTTTTACTGACGAACGTGATTCTCTTCCCGGCCCGTGATCTGCCTCGGAGAACGTCTTCCCATGCCAGTGTTACCCATCCTCATAGCACCCTGTGCCTCCCCAGCTATCTGCGACGGCTGCACCAGTTTGTGGGTTCTGGCTTTTTCCAGCTAAAAGCTGGAATTTTTGCTTCAGAGTCTCTGGGTTCAACACACACTCTGGAATACTGGTTAATTAAGAATAAATGAGCAGAGCCCTCAATCCTTTATCCTTTATTTTTTTCTGATGATCCTCTTCCCTCCATTCTCAAAGATATGGGTATCCTCTTTTTCTAGTTCACAGGAAATTAATGTCATCTTTGACCTGGTATCTTCCTTTTATGCCTAACTGAAGTCTTTTTCCTTTACCAAAAGTCTTAATAAAATCTTTCTGCTCAGCAGAACAAATCTGCAGTTTAGGCAAGTGAAAATGTTAACTGCTATGGAAACAGCCACAAATCCTTTTGATCAACGCAGAGACTAGTGCAGAAAACATACTCCTTTGAAAAAAACCCTGCTCTTAAAACAATGCGTGCTAATAATTACTTTATTGCTGAAGTTTTCACAAATAAATTATATAATCCAAATTGAGAATTTTAAACTAAAAATTACAGCAAAACTTATGATCTAATATTCCTATGAATAATATCTGGGTTTGAAATAAAATGAAAAAGAAAAAGAGAGCGTTGAAATAGTAGATAGAAAAATAATAACAGAAAAGTTCACCAAGAACCCACCCTCTGGTGTGGAAGATTCCTTCCTGCGACTGGAGGGTGGAGCTAGCAAACTGATTGGAGTAGGCTGATGCTCTGGTGAGCGGACTATAGCAGACATGATGATCTGCTGCCGGGCTGTGGCTGGAGTAGATGGATGAGGGTGGTCTGATATTTTCCGATGAGCAGCTATAGACGAGATAAATGCCACTTGTTAATATAACCAATATGAAACACTAGTTCATAGCAGTGGTTCTGTGTAACCATTCAGTGGTTGCAACCCACAGAAAAAAATGTAGCCTTATTGCATCTTCACAGCAGTAGATAAGAATTAAACAACATATGCTACTGCTATAGCAGCACACAATTAAAGGCACGTTTTCAGACCAAAAATGTGCGTCTCCTTCCAGATTCACCTTTTCTGTTAACCCCTACCTTCTTCACGAGCAGATCTGAGTTCAATGCGTGTTTTCTGTAGAGCCTCCTCCAGCTCAGCAGAACGAGCCTTCTCCTTCTCCAGTGCCACTTTCAGCTCATTGTATTGCAGGGGAACCTGTGTGGGTAAAGAAGGGTCCTCTTTCCGCCGACTAAACAGGCCCTAGCAACAGAAACACACAGACAACTCCTAACTCCTAGTAAGAGATGGCTTAAACTAGGCAAAGTGAAACTAGCTAGTGGCAGTCCGGCCAGAGGGCCTAATGGTAATTCTGATACGCGTAAGGATGGATTTTTAGTTCATACTGGCACTGGAGAGAAAATGTTGAAATATGGATTAATTTAAAGAGGGACGTACATTACCTGTTAGTACTCACACCTTGAGTTTCCGAAAGCATCTAAACAGAGGATCTCAAAATACGTGGTTAAAATTAAATTACTTAATTCAAAATGACAGAACGGCTTATGACAAAGATGTGACACAAGTCACATCGCCTGACTAATCAATCCTATGCTGTAACTATAAGACAACCACTCTAGATACACAGTATGTTCATACACTCATACATACTTACCATTAGAAAACAACAAAAAAAAGCATGTTAAAATTCTGAATTCCTACAGCCTCTCTGAGGTGTAGTTACTGGTTTGTAACCTAAGTATTGCAGGAATAACAAAATACTGGAAAAGCCACAAAGAACACATTCTGCCTAGTAAAGTTTGCATTCAGCAACTCAGAATGCTCTTAAATGAGGACACATTTGTGTTACACAAAGAAAGATAAAACAGAAAATTAAGAATACATAGCACGTAACTAATCACAAAACCATAATTTACTTCCATGCCTCTCAAACCTTTTTCACCCACCTTTTTCTTTTTCGCTGGTTGGTCCATCTTGGCCTGAAGGAAATCAATGAGTTTGGTTTGCTGAGAAATAGTGCCCTCCATTTTCACTTTTTCATGGGAATAGAGTACCTGTGAACCACACACACATAAATGAAATTTCATCTTAATAAAAGAAATAAACAGATAACTCAAAAGCAGAACAGAACTGATAAATAGTACAAGGAAAGTTGTCACACAGGAACAGTAGATCACATCCCAAAATCCCCCAGGGAGTGGGGTTTTAGGATAGGGAGCAGAGTCCTGCCCACTGTTTCCTCATCCTCACCTGAATGTTTTCCAGCTGATATTCCAGGTCACTTCTTTCAGTCTTCAGAAGATCTGCTCGATCTAGAGCCTCTTGCAGACCTTGAGTTAGGCGGAAGATGTGATTCTTTTGTAGATCCATTTGCTGCTGCAGCTTTGCCTGCTGTTAACAGGAAAACAAAGGCCAGTGTTTTGGGTTCGTTGTTTGCTTGTTTTTAAATAACACACCCCTCCCCCCAAGATGTGGAACCTTTGTCTGAAGTTATAACATGAATTTCCAAGGTTACCTCCTCCAGAAGTCTCTGCTTGAGTTCCCTTTCTGTCTCAAGCTTCTGTTGTAGACTGCGTGCATTCATTTCCAACATAGCATGCTTCTTCTCCAGGTCATTGAGCTAGGCAGGTGGGACAGATGGTCAGAATAACATTGAACGCTAATAAATATCGCGTTCAACAATCTTAAAATCCAACTTCACCAAACACACACTGAAGAAAAATGATACAATTATCCTTTACTTACTATAAGGGGGAAAACCAACCAAACAACACTTTGGTATGCCATTGCTCAAGTGCGGATATCAAGTTATTGAAGGACTTCGCTGAACACTAGGCATCACAGGCTGCTTTCTGCTTTAGTCTTTTTCAAAAGGAAATCTGAGGTCTTTGGCTTGAAGATAGAATTCTATTACCTCCAGTCTTTTGCATTTGCTCTAATGTCTTGAAAAAGCATCTCAAGACCACATTTCTACAAGCATTATCTCTAGAAAAGTATCTCATCTAATTATTAAAGTCTAGGGTTGCAAGTTACTTACCTTATCCGAAAGGCTCTCAGCTTTAAGTTTTTGTTCCTTCAGTGCTTGCTGGAGGGCTAGAATCTCTGCCTTGTGTTCCTTGACAGCTAGTTCTACCACCTGGCGAGATTCAGTAATACGCTGATCTGCTCTCACTCTGTATTAAAATGGAAAATAATGTTACCTAACTCCTTCCTGGGCTTGACCTCTTCCTAGCATGCAGTGGCATCAATAACTCTTTCAGAGGATTGCCTCAAATTCAAGATGTTACTTTATAAAGCCAGCCTGTTTGCTGCAACACTTTTATATTACATAACCCTGTTCCTGCCCCTGCTAGAACTACAGCCTGAAAATTTCAAGACCCCACAGGAACAGTTAGGAGCAAAGACCATTATTCCATATAATAAAGTAGATGATAATAAATCGAGCCATTTTATAAATTACAATGGATAAATACCACTCCCCTCGAATCACTCACTTGCAAAGAAACAAAAGGAACAATATCACTGGTGAATGACTATTAACTAATAAACCATTTTTAGAACTACCTCATAAGAATGTATATTTAGTTCTAACTCCCATATCCTATTCTAAATATAATTTTTTGTACTAGCTTCTATAGAGCATTTTCATAAAAGTTAATAAAAGGAGGAGGAGGGGGGAGAGACCTGCTCTGTTTCTCAGTATCCAGCATCCTCTGCAACTCTCTAACTCGACATTCAAACTGGGACTTCTCATCCCCTAGAACGCTTCTCCATGCTTCCCACTGACGCTCTTTCTCCAAGAGTTCATCATTCAGGGCCTCCAAGTCCATTACTTGCTCTTCCAGCATTGTGCATGTTGTCTTCAAGGCCTCCATAGTCTAAAAATAAATCCTCCTATCAATTCTCACATCCCACATCAAGCGTGCACTTTAAGCTTCAGCCTTACCATTTAAATTACAGTACATGCAAATTGGCAGCAAACATAAGCTGGTAAATCACAACCCATTTATTTCGAGGCTTCCATACATTCACTTGTGATTGTCGTTAATGTCAGTTCTACCTCATTATGAAAATTTTGAAATTTCCAGGGTCACAAAATTAAAATGAATTAATTCTAGATTACAATATCTTCAGAGCGCAAAATTTCTAAATAAAATTGCATAAAAATACAATGGGAAATGCAACATTTTTCCACTCAGTCATCTGCTCTGGGAAGGAAGGCTTAAACACCATTGCCCCTGGAAGCATAGTCATTCCTTACAGGTTTCCAGATTCAAAAGAACTTTTTGCCTTTCAGATAATTAGCTACCTATCACAAAGAGATTGTGATCCAGACTGATAAAACCTTACTTGTTTCTGACTGGTAAGCTGCATCTCTCTCTCAGTGATCTCCCGACGGAGATGGTCAACTTCACTTCGCAACTGGACAACCTCATCATTGGCCCCCGAGGCCTCATCAAGTTGTTTGGACAGGAAGAAATTCTGATTGTTCAGTTCTGCATTGTCTTCACTGAGCTGGTTCAGCTGCTCTTCCAAATCCGTAATCACCTGGAAAGAAAAATAAATTAAATTACAAGTCAGTGAGTCAAGATTTTGAAAAAGTGTTTTCTCACAGAACGATTTGTTGCCAAGCAAGGAGACAACCTGGCTTTTAATTTTTTTCAAATTTAAACAAAAGCAATATTGTAATGGTAGATTTTATGCACAGGAGTGTACTTAGATTAGAAACAGTTTTGTTTCTTACAGTAAATAGCTTTTTTCTTTTTTTTAATTTGGTCTAGAGTATAAATATGCTGCAATGCAATTTACTATTTGAGAGAGAACTGTCACATCTAAAGCACTGCACTGGGAGTCAGGAGTTCTGTTTGTATTCTCAGATCTGCCGCTGACTTACAGTGTGCCATTGCCAAAGCACTTTACCTTTTTTTGCCTCAATTTTCTCTTAAGTGAAATGAGGCTAATACCTCTCAGAGAGGCTTTCAAAGCGTGGTATTTAAGCAAACCGAACAGGAGGTGCGATGGAGGCAGTACAACCTGACGAATCTGCCTAGCAATTGGTTATATTACTGTATGCAACACTGTATGTAACCAGGAAAAGCAGAAAAATTTTAAGAAATATATTCTATCAAAGTAACAGCATTGTGGATGGCAGCACGGGATAGATGAAAAAAGAAAAAGGTGTGGCAGCACAACAGACTTACAGAAAATCAGTGAAAAGCAAAAATTCAACAAGTATAATAGCCTTGCCTTTAATGAATTGGAAGTGTCCATTTGTTTAATCAGAATAGCTTTATACTACACACTTTAAACCACATTCCACTTCAATGTAAAGAAAAATATGAACAACGGTGGGCCATTTTCATGGTCCCATTTGATTTTTATGAATGAAAGGCCATGAACACTGCATGGATGAACACCTGTATCCCCTCCTAACTCAAAAACAAAGTCATCATAACAGAAGAGAAAGGAACCTCAGTATAATCTTCAAATCAGCTCAATAAAAAGCATTTCAGAAACTGGAAAGCTCTATACAATTCATATTCAACACTTACAAATATGTTCTAGAGGCATTTTTGCCTAGATGTCAAAGAAAAGGGGATAAGATAGTTCATTAAATGGGAAAAATTAAAATCCCAGAGCACAGTTGGCCACACATTCAAATTTAAATGTTCCAGTTTCCTACACAAGACTTAAATATCTAATGCCGTAGACCACAGAGCATACAGCTCTTCTCAGCTATCTGGAAAGATGACAACCATTTCTTTTTGAAGAATCTGTAACGCATATATTGGCAGCCTTTTACCATGCCTCTCCTAGATCTAAATTAACAGTATTTGATTTTTAAAGTGTCAGCAGAAAAAGTCCAACTGACACTACTCCCTGCTGGGTGAAGGGGGAGCACCCGCTGCCCATATGGTCAGGGTCAAATCAAAATTATTCATACTTTAAAACACAACATTGCCAATGAAAATATGATCATGTGGTTCTTTCCTGAGCACTCTTTCTGCCCTATTCAAAATATACATTTTATTCTGTATCGTATGCTTCAAGTTTTCAAAGAATGCAGACTGTATCATAAGGATGTGTTAGCGTCTATATTGCTGTAGGGATAAGAACCTAGAAATGTATTTATGCAAACAAAAAGGAACAAAAGAACATTTGTTTTTACATTGTTTTATCTGCCATTCTTACAAGTAGCATCTGAGATTTCTACTAACTGCCAGATAAGATAATCTCTTTTTCTTCTACTTGTTTTATTTTTATGTTTAACCACACCACGTATCTAGGCAGTTTTAAGATATATTTTATACATCCATGGTTTCTTCCACATATATTTTATACACTAATACAAGCACTTTCTGTAAAAATTATTAAACCAGTTTTGAAATAGAATAAAACAGAGATGGGGGAAACAAAATGGATACAGTGACATGCAGAGTTCATGTGTCGAACTACTTAATTAATTTTTTAAAACTGGCTGTGTTTTAAGTTGATTTTATCCCTTAAGGGCTGGAAGTTAAGCTCGCATTCGCCTTTATTTTATGTTCTGAGATTTTTTTACTTCTTTCCCTGAATATAACTAAAATTAAACCAGACCATTTTATATTTCAGTTACATTTTATCTAGTAGGATATTTCTGGGAAACTTAAGACAAATAACAAAGCAGGGTTACAGAAGAAGTGACATGATCTCCTTTCTTGAATATTTTCCTAACGGTATATTTATTGACAATTCCAAAATGGCTTGGCTTAAAGTCCAAATATATTATAACCTATATAATGTAACCTATATGGATTGAGAGATTTTAGGAGGGGTTTTAAAGAGAGAAAATTTGTTCTTCACGTTACAATTTTCCTTTTTTCATGGGGAAAGAGGAAATCTGTTAACAAATCCAATTTTTAAAAGCTCTCTGCAGCTATGCGTAACCCAACAGGGTTACAGAGTTTATAAATACTATAAAGCCTAAATAGTAATGGGTAATACTGACACAGGAAAATGGGACATGATGTCATATAAATGCCTGTCCTGGGAACCAAGAAGAAAGAAAATAGAGATCAAAAAGCCACATTTGATAGGAAACGTTGTCTTGGGCATACATACATACATACAATCTATGCCAGAATCCTGTACCTGAAAAGAGTTAATAGCTTTAGGTATTTTTTTTTTTCAATTAAGGAAATCCCCAGGCAAAAAAACCCCAAACCCCAAACCAAAAACAAACAAACAAACAAAACCCCAAACCAAATAAACCAACCAACCCTGAGGTATTCTGGCATTAAATTTGAAGCATATTAAAGGAAAGTCTGTAAGAAACCCTGTTTTATCCTTTAGAAACCCATAAAATAATTACAAAAGCCTTCAAAAGGTATATAAAACAACCAAACACTTGAAAGCCTGGAAAAGCAACTCTAGACAATCTAGGCAGCCACTGTATCATCAAAGAGCAACTGAAATTTTCAATCTATGCACATCTTCATCACAACTAATGGACAAAATAGAGATATAATCTAACTATGCCATGCTAATCTTGGCAGATTGTTCACTACATGCCACATCTAAGCACACAACTTATCTTTATACTGATACAGAAGACTGTATCTCATTTTCAAATATTACAGAGCAACCCAAGCATAACAGCTCATCAGCAAAAGTGACCATGTTCAGCACAATTCCCTCCCCGTTGCACAGTTTCAGAAAAGCAAAGTGTTTATTGCGAGATTGCGCAGATTCACAGCTACTATACCTGGCCCTACAAACTTAGAATCGTAGAATCATTTGGTTGGAAAGGACCTTTAAGATCATTGAGTCCAACCCTGTCCCTAAGCACCTCGTTTACTTTACTCGTTGTTAAATCCCCCCAGGGATGGGGACTTGACCACTTCCCTGGGCAGCCCCTTCCAGTGCCTGACAATCCTTTCAGCGAAGAATTTTTTCCTAATATCCAATCAAAACCTCCCCTGGCGCAACTTGAGGCCATTTCCCCATGTCCTATCACCTGGGAGAAGAGACCGACGCTCCAGCTCCCCCCTCCTCTCAGGCAGGTGTAGGGAGCGATAAGGTCTCACCTTGGCCTCCTCTTCTCCAGGCTGAACACCCCCAGCTCCCCCAGACGCTCCCCAGCAGCCTTGGGCTCCGGGCCCCTCACCAGCTTCATTGCCCTTCTCTGGACAAAAGAACCCTAACTTCTCCAGGTATGGGTCACAAATTAAATATCATAGCAATAAGCAGTTCAGGGCCACAATGATTCTGTTTGCATATCAGATACAATGTAGAAAATCTAATCCATATGCTCCATGTATCAAAACCACAGGCAAAACAATGAGGGAGCAAAGGAAGCAGTTTGGGAATACTACAATCTGCAGCTTCCAGACTTCTCCATAACCTTATTCCTTCATAAAGATGTCTCAGTTCTCAGATGCCACCAACAAACATGCAGGAAAATGCTAGGACACAGCAAGGCAAACTCTTTCAGGATGCTATCAGCAGCGTGTTATTTGGAGTTTCATGTAATTTTTCGTACAACCTTAATTCAGAACTTCCAAACTAATGCATGGTTTTACTCTATCCATTTCACTCCTCCCCACCCCCACTAATCTTTATTAGAAAGCTGTCAGAAGTAAATAGGAAAAAAGAAAAAGCTATCTCCCAGCCCCAAATTATTATGGGGAGGAAGCAAGAGCAGGCATCAGATTCACTTCATATTAACCTACACACATTTGGATCCAAGAGACAAAAGCTTTTCTAGCAGAGAACTACCAAGCTCAGAATGGAGCAGAATACCAAGCCTCTTAAGGAACACAGCTGCAGCTGGATACCAGTCTGGTATCTTTACCTGTTTGATCAATATATAACATTGAACTCCTCGCAGAAAACATCTTTGCCTTGAAACATACATTACGTGGAGATATCAGTCCCCAAAAACTCATCGTGGCTTAGCTTGAGGGACATTTCTCTCATTAGTAGCTGCAGGGTAGTAGGACGTTGCACAGTCTGCATTCTTCTCCTTCCCACACCAACCCATTACTAAAACATACAGTCTCCTGTACTCCTCTGTCCTACTGCCAAGCAGATGAGCTGCCTCTACCAACCGCAAGCCTCATCCTCAAATGATGATGATGTCATCATCCATGATGAAGGTCCCATTAGCCTCTTTCACAGCAACACCTCATCAACACCCTAAAAGTCTCTTACATTTTGTCAGGCTACAAATACTACAAAGCTCCATTTTTGCATCTGCCATCACGTTTTCCATGAAATGAGAATCAGGGATAACCACTCCCATCCAACAGCCATTTTCCTTTCTTAAAAATTTAACAAAGCCATACAAAAGTTTTTGCCTGGGTATTAGCCTTGTTACAGTGGGCGAGGTCCCTTTACTCTGAAACGCAATTTAGCATCTAAGTGTATAACATCTTTAGACATAATTTTGGAAGTTCTCAAGAACACAGATTATTCTTGTATGCCAACTCATTGAGCCAGTGTGGAATCAGGATCTTAGACCGAAGTCAGCAGGACTTTATGCATGACTAAAATTATACATGTGCTTAACGGGCTTGCAGATTTAATGCCTCAATATCCAATCTCATAGACAAGTGCAGAATCAAGCTTGTTAACGCTTAAGATAGGAACACAAGATGATGACAAAAGAACCTCAAAGGAGGGAAGATAAACCTTGTTTTACTGAAGAAATGTTGAATAAAGGGAAATGCAATATCCAATTAGTATTAGAAATGCCACTCTCCTTGGTAGAGTAAAAGCAACAGCCAGTACCTGAAAAAAACCAGAAGATTCAGATGGTGGTTCCCTGGAATAGCAATAGTATTTACTAAGCTGAGTGTAAATACTTTATAGGATTCTTTTCTTCTAAATGTTTATAGACTTTACTGCCTGCTTACTGAACGTTTTCTTTTTCAAACAATTCCACTATTAGTTAGATAACATAGTTGTATTTTTAACTTCACATGTGTTGACGATCCAACAACAAGCCATAATTAAGAGGCAGTTGGAAACACCTGACAAACACATAAATTTTACTATTTAAGAAAATACCTTTTATTTCTAGATCTTTTTCTAATTGCCTGGAAAATACTTTTAACATTCAAATGGATCATATTTTTGATAGAATAATTCTTTAAAGGTAGAGAACTAGCCCTTCACCCTCAACAGATTTGCTAGATAAGCTATCATGGTGACATGATAAAATATCACTGTGTGTGTGCCCACATGTATCTCTGTGTGTATAGAGCAGGTACTACAATTTACAATTTTTATTGTAATTATGTATCCTATTATTTCTTGCACAACTGAGAGACAGAGAAAGCAAATGCTAGCATTTTCTTTTAGACCCCCAATAGTAAAAGAGAGATGTCACAAAATGAAACAATGCAGAGCTATCAGAGCAACTGAATATAAATTCACAAACAAGGCAGAAATTACGACCAACAACATAGCAATGGTCCCTACGTATGCACCCCAAAACACAGCAAATTTAAAATGAACAAATAGGAGAACCTAAAAAAATGTCTACTTGGTCAGAGACCTTGGCAAAAAGAACAAGGGTGCAATGAGGGTACAAGGAAAGCAGACACACATTTGAGGTATAAGCCTTCTCTACAGTTGGAAGCTGTGACCTTTGTGAAGCTAGAGAAACAGAAGAAATACCAAAGAAAGTAGATTAGGTATTTTTATTTATCTTTTGAATACTATAAAAGTACTGAAGTAATTCAATCTTTCATTTTTTTTCCCCTTTCTAATCTTATTTTCATAATTCTTACGCTGTTTTGGGCTTCTCAATAAGATTAAATACAAAGTAATTCCATAACAAAGTTTGCCAGACTAGTTCAAGGAGTTTGTTTCAGCTTAAAGGATATCTTCTGAAAACTTGCTAAAAGAATAAACCCGCTCATTATCACGCTGCATAAGTAGCAGCTTATTACAATTATTCCCTTGAAGTGTTATCTTATTTTAAAAGGAGTATAAATCTAATCACCTTCAAGTAGAATCACATGGTCACCAAAAAGCAAAGGCTGCATCGTACTGGTCACAATCTGAGCAAAATGAGGCTGAAAGACCTGGTGAAGACACCATCATCAGCATTCCCTGACCCCTCACTGTCAATAGAAGATTGTCCTATATTTTCTGTCAGTGCTCCTCAGTAGACAGATGGACAGCTAGAACTACTCACAACACAGAACCAGAAAATCTCTATCCATTGTCAATTAAATTATACATGCATTCTCATTCTCCTGGGCTGGAAAGAGAATGTATGATGAGCATGTATTATTAATTTAGGAACTATTTAATTCATTTCTTATTGATGAGTATGTCTGATCCCACTTATCCCACTGAAGGGCCTTACAATGCACAACACTTTTAGAAATCCTCTTATGCAGAACCTTTGAAGCTCTCAACATTTTTGAAATGTTATGGGTCACTCTTCACTGCTGGAGATTGCTCACCACACTTACAGAGCCGAAATGTTGCTAGATAATGAGTTACAACCTCTGCAAGGCAGCCTACCATGCAGTGAAAAGAAACAATGGATTTTCCAGAACTGTTTTTTGCCTGCATGGGGATCACAGACGCCATTTTCATAGAAAGCTGTCATTCTATATGAAGGTAAGACACTTGATGGCACATATGGAGCTAGAGGATCGATCTACATAAATGAAGAAGGGAACAAAAAGTAAAGTTTCTTGTGCAGGATTTCTTTTAGATAGAGGTTAACACACTTTGGTAAGCTCTATCTCCTCATTTCTTCATATCAGTATATTCTGTGAATGGAATAGAAGAACCCCCTTTCTTAGTGCTAAAGAGCAACTGAGGAAACCAGAACTCCTCTCATCCTGAAAAAATATTTTTGAGAGATGAAAACTTGTACATTAGATACTTAGTCCTACAGCATGAAATCACTGGAATTAGGGGAAACGATCAAGATAAAAAAAGCAGCAATTGACCCCTACCTACTGGGTGGGGCAAGGAGAGAGAGCCTGGAAAGACTGGCAATCAGTGCTGATCCAGAGGACTGTGGTCCTTATTCAACACTTTTGTAATTCATGTCATTGGAAGACAGACGCTCTCCATCAAGCATCATAAACAAGTTTGAAGATAGTGTTAATCTGCAAGAATCCCTATTCATAGACAAAACCTTGAATACCTGTCCTGGATTGATGAAATTAATCTAAAAACATGTCAAAAGATCTCAAGCAATGGAAGGTGCAAATTAAGATCCTAGAGTCCTCTCTGCCCTTTGAGCAGATGACTACATGTCAACGTATTACTTGGAACCATAACATTTCTTGCCTCTTCAAACAGTATTAAAGTCCTCCTTAAAACCCAGAGTAGCATGAAGGCTCTTCCACTCTGGCCTAGATCTACAATGTAGCTCAGGATTTGGACAGGTAGATCTTTTCTTCTTGTGAGCAGAAAAGATCTTCACCTACAATCATTTTTTTGCAGCTGCTACACCATTCTTATTAGCTGCACCGCAATGAGATATTTTAATTTACTCTCTTCTCCAAAAAGAAGAATGATGTCAATTTCATGATCAGACTAAAACCTCAAAAATGAGGTTTACCTGAAACCTAAAAGAAATCAAATCCAATCCGTCCAGCTCCTACTAACACCTTGAAGCCAGAAGTCCACATTAGGAACTAGTGTCATCAAGGATTAAATAAGTAAATTGTTTCTTTCTTTATCCTTAATTTCAAAATAATTCAATGATCTGTATTTAATACTCACTGTGCAGCTATTACGAAGGGCTTCAAATTTACGCTGGATTTCATCTCTATGTGCCTAAAGGAGGTAAGAAGTTAATCATCAATTTTTCATACATTAGAATTCGAATCCAACAGCTGTTGCTCAACAAACTGCAGAACGATCTACCAGCAAGCAAAGTTTGGAAGGCAGATGCTGCAGGCTATGAAAGCACTCTGTGGTGGCAAAGAACTGATTTGCAAAAGTCACATCCTACTTAATCAAAATACACTTATGCTCCCAATTCTGAACTACTTTAGAAAAATGTACAAACTCAAGAGCTGAGTTATGTAAAATATTCCATCTGACATGGTCACCAGAAGACATGTCGATTCCATGTTAAGTTTGTACATTCTTCACGTTTAAATTTGAGTTGGTTTTACTTCAATATCCAGATCAGTATTTTATATAAAATAAATACTGCATACAAATTAATGCTTGCAAAGAAAAACTATAATGAAGTATCATGCAAACTATCCCAAACAGTGCTGCCAATCTAACTGAATCCTACCATAAAGTACCATTAAACCCTGAGCCTCTCTAAAAAGCAGTGATGAAACAATAATCAATTCTTTGGAAGACAGCATCCAAAGTATGGAAAAGTGCAAACACTTATTTTAAAGAATGCAGTATTGCATGCACCATTTTACCTCCTAATGTGCAAGCAAAGCATGACAAAGCAAAAGTTCTTGTTTCAGCCTCATGGCCTCTGTCAAAATTCATCAAACAAGTGTCTAATGTCATATGCTATCTGAAAACACTGAAAACAAATGAAAGGTTAGTGCACTAGCACATCCAGCCACCTTTCTTCATTCAGAACATTTTCCTTAGAGCCAAGAGACTAAACAGGAAAAAACTGTTCCGCAGAAGTCAAACATGAGAGCTAAAAAGCTATCTTAGCACAACAGGCAATATGAAAAATAAAAAAAAAGTACATTAAAAAATCCATAACAGAAATACTCCCAAGCCCACCGAAATGGACTATTTTACAACATCTGGTCCAAAAGCACTACCATGTTGCCAAATTAACTGAAGCAATAACTGAGTGAGCAGAGGTCATAAATATTCATCTGCGGCTGGGGGTGGGGAAACCGGCATTCCATTGGCAGTGATATTAGTTGTTAGGTGAAGCTTTCAGCTGGGAGGGGACCACCTCAGTTTTGAGCAAAAAAGAAACTGATGTCACGTTCTATTCAGTTATTCTTAAGCCTCGATGTGGCTGCTGTACTTTCCCAGTGTGTACCCGCTTTAGAACAACTTTGAGTGAATGGTTCTCCCATTCATCTACCCAAAGCATCAATGTAATACAAGCACCTATCTCAGCTGAGCCCACCATCCCCTCTGAAAAATAGCAATGGCAGAAATATTCAGAACAGTTCTTTGATCAAATGCCACAGGAGCAAGAGGATGCAAATTTTCAGCACTTCAGAATAACTGGATTTGAAGGCTGCTGCTCAGTAGGGGTTAGCTGGTAGCAGGTCATGCACTTTTCCACTCTCCCCTCCCCACAGCCCTGGGAATTTTTTATGAAGGAAATATTTCTTAGAATCAAGCAGTTTGAAAGCGTCTTTTTGTACTCAAAAGACAGCCACCAGCAGCATATAATTTTGAATTCCGTTTACGGGGGTGGGGGGGCAGGATTTGAACTTTATATCACACACACACCTCACCAGAGGCTGCAAGACACACGACAATTTTTAATGAAATAAACATTGGAATTAAATTATGTGCCAACAACACTATTTTCCTAGGAATGTTCGGGTTTTTTTCCCCAAATAAGTATCCCTAAAGCAGGGTAACTGATAGAAAAAAATAATCGTCAAAACATTTATGATCGTCAAATACTTGATAGTCATAAGATATTATTTAAATAAGGAAATCACAGAGTAAAACTCCTAACAATAACTATTTCATGTGCAACTTTCACCTCATCACAAAAGTAATAATACTCTTACAAACAATCAATGAGTTTTGGCAGCAATGAACCACTAGTAGGAAGCATTCATATGGTTAAAGATAAGACAGACAGAATTTGATGTTTTAGCCATTCCTGCCTCTATCAACACAAGGCACAATATGTATCCTGTTCTGAAAATTAAAAGTTAAATAGTATAAATTAATTTTAACCTCTTTATGAAACATGCACCTACATAATTCTAATCTGTATATAGAGCTCATAGGACAAATTTTAGGACTCACTGTGAGAGCTTGAATCTCTTCCTCTGCCTCAGCTGTAGTCTCTTCTAGTTCAGTTTTGGCTTCGCGGAGCTGATTCTCCAGGGCTGTCCGTGCAGCCTGCAGCCCAGTAATCTGAGATTCCCGCTCCTGGAGCGTCAGCTGCAATTCTGTCAGCTGCCTTTTGAGTTCCAGCTTTTGTTCTTCATGCTCTAGACTAACCTGAAGAAAGAAAAAGTAGCATCCATATATAAATTACTAACAAAGAAAATATAGGCAATGTAATCTCATGTCAGACCTCACTTTAAGATGCCATTGCCATGTCTATCCCAAAAACACACATCTTGACAGATTGCTTAATTCACTGAGAAGTCAAGGATGCAGCTTTGTCTATTACCAAAAAGCTACTAGTTTGCTTTGAAAAAGGTTAAAATCAACCTGGCATTTTGAAATGACAACAAGGGCACAAGCACAGTTCCAGCTGTGATTCCAATATCACATACCAAACATTGATATAAAAAGTATAAAAAAAGCAATTTGCAATGGTCTTTCTTCACTGAAATTGAGAATCTTTAAGAATCTTTATTTGAGAACCTTTAGGCATAAACATCAATACTAATCTTTCCATGTATGTAAACATTACACACATTTTGCAATTGACTTTCTTATTTCATTTTCCCTTCAGATTCTTTTTAAAGAAACCAACCAGATCATCTGGCTCAGGGTTTATTTGAACGGCTTCTCTAGAAGGCTTTCTTGGGGCATACTCAGGGATAAACATGTCATTTCCAGAAATGGATAAGAAATGAACAAGCAGCAGAACAGATCTCAGTGCTCAAAATCAATTCCAAACCTTAGCACCTTCTTCAGGCTGTCTGCTATCCCAAGTGAATCTGTCTGTTGTGCTGTAGATGAGCGACAAGCCTGTCAGAAATCTTAAACTGGTCCCAACCAACTTCTGGTCAAACAAGGACATGTGTTGGTCGTCCAACCGCTTAGCTAAAGGTAAGATTTCAGTCTTAGCTGAAAATTAGTGGAGTGAGACTGGAGAAGGTAAAAGAAGATTTGAAGTGGATCCAAACTAGTCGATACAAAACTAAAAATGAAGCACAGCTCACAAATTTTTAAAAATGCGTATTTTCATATTACTGTTAGGTTTCCTTTCCAGAAAACTTCTGAAAAATGTGCGTGAAAGCACTAAGCCTCCTGTTTTCTTACAGCAATTCTGTTGTGTCCTTTACTTTCTATTCTGTAGACTCTAAGCTGGTCATTGCACATAGCTAAGCTTTTATTGTCTACCCCACAACGACTCTAACTGGACAACATTGTAAGGATATTGCACAAAAAAAAAAAAAAAAAAAAAAAGATTCTGAGAAAACAAGATGATCTAAAAAGCTCAGATTCATTTAGGTCTAAGAATGGCAAATTCTTAATACTTACTTTTATCTCCTTCTAATGAGCCATCTTAAATTTTTTTTAGGTGGTTTTTTTGTTTGGTTTTTTTTACAGTCCCATGAAAAAAAAGGTACTGCTAGACCAAATTAAATGAATACACCTTAAACGACCATTTTTTCTGACACACAGAAGGAAAACCATTTAGTTCTAGTTCTCACTATAATACTCAAAATGGGGTACATTCAAGTAAGTTTGTTTGGAGGGATTAAAGCCAAGTTTTCACCTCTCGCAGCCTAGTCTCTAGCTCCAGCAGGCGGTTCTTGTCAGTGTGATCTTGGTGACTCATCTTTTCCAATTGTTCTTCTAATTTTCGATTCTGAGCCTCTAACTTTCCAGCTTGTGTTTCCAAGTAGAACTTCTGTTGCCTGAGTTCTGAAATCATCTCTTCTTGGGCTTTCCTGATAGGACAAAAGCACAAGTGACCAACCCAAAATGTCCTTAACATATATCCTTTCACTGGGGTGAAGTAAGAAATAATGTACTACAAGTTTCCTGTTGAGTAGAATAGTTAAGTTCATAGCTTAAAAAAAAAAAAAAAAAAGTCAACTCTATTCTTGCCTGCAAAAGATCCATGTACTAGTATATTCATCAACACATACCCAGAGCACTAAAATTCCATGTTTGCAAGCTGCACAGAAAAATTAATCTTGTACATGGTAATCTATAACAATATTTAAGCTACAGTTCATTCTTCTCATTTCACCAGGTCCTTGTTACATGTTTTTCCATACAGGAAAAATAAATGCTAAGAACAGCTGCTTTGATAAACCCTACTGGTTAGGGTTCGGGGAGGGTACTGTGTTGCGGGTTCTTGTGTTGGGGGTTTTTTTCATTTTAGTTGTAATGGACCTAGAACTTGACCTACATTGAAGAGAAGCTTTGTTGTCTCTGATCAAAGTCTTAATCTACAAAGTGTACAAAAATAATTACTTACACTCATAAGAATTTTGAGAGCTGGCAATGACTAATTATTACCATAAGAATTCTAAATGGATACCCTCATAAACGGAGGGGGGGGGGGGGGGGGAAGAGGAAAAAAAGGTTCTTTCTACATTATTTACAATTCCTGGAACAATTTTATCATGCACTGGAAAATTCTGTGTCATAGTGTGCTTTCTATTTAGAAGTCTCACAAAGCTCTACATATATTAATGAATTAATATTTTAAGAAGTTCACTGTGAGATAAGCTGTTATTAATCCTATCCCAGAGAAATTATGTGGGTTGCCCAAGATCAAATAGGAAGACTTAACAAAAACTAAAAATAGAACTTAAGTCTTCTGACTCACATTTCTGTGCATTTGCACACAAACCCACCCTTTCACCCCTTCTCTTTTTTTAATTTACTTCTACAGATTATTGCCAGCCAGAACTGCCAAATGGTTGGTATTTCCCTTCCTGCTGTTTACTGGACTATCTTCTCAGGAACCTGATAATCATCAGTTTCCTCAGATACTGATAGAACAGAAGCTAGCAGAGTTCCCCTCTACTCTGAAGGGTTTAATCACTAGTTTTCCTCTTCAAACATGCTCAGATTTGCTGTAGCTTTTGTGGATTCAAAATACAGTCCAACAACAGATATATACATTTTCACCATCACGATTCACATAAGCACAAATTCATTAGCTGTCTGCATGCATAATAAAATGTTAATTCTGTACTATCTTCTACCAATCCTGCAAAATTACATTACTTGACAATATGTCTCTAAATAGTCTAAGTCGTTTGTTAAAACATTATTATATTTTTCTCTTGTTTTCTCTGGATTTCCAGTCAAGTGTCCTGCTCTCAGAGGATGAATCTAGCCAAGTTCTAACACTCGGTTCAGCCCTTGCATATGCTTCCCAGGTACACGTTGAGACAATACTTCTGTTTTATTTCAAACTGAAGGCAAGTTATGGCTTTTGCTGCCTCAACAAACTTTCTGGGTGATTAAATGGAGGTTGCCTGGAGCATAAAGCAACACAATTAAATTTCTCAGTTATTTCTGTGAATATTTTTGGCTGCTCAGGCTAAAATAACTTGCCAGATATTTGAAATACAACAAAAATTGGAGCCATTATATATCTGAGGCTTAATCACCACTGAAAAGGAAAAAAAACAAACCCAAAGCAACTCTGTCAAAATTCATCCTTGCTTGATTCTATTCAGTATCATAAATGAATCTATCCAAGTGCTTCTCACAGAGACACTACCTGACATTGCAGCCAGCAGTTGACGGACACTGAAAACCTTTCCACAGACAGCCAAAGTTGATGAATCTCAGCTCAGTAAGAGCATATACTACTTTAGCCCTACCTTGCAGGACACATCAGGCAATCCATGCTTTTTCCTATACTTGAAGTAGAACACCTTTAAGTCATTTATGAAGGAAAAACATTATAATGACAAGGAATCTCAGCTAAAATCCAAAGCAAAATAAAGTTCAGGCAGACAAAAAGATCTGACACAGACTTCTTCTGTGTTTAATAAATAAGAATCCGCCACAGGAACAACTGCTGATTACACAGTGATTCAAGATGACATTAGTTCTTGACCAGTCATATACTCCAAAAACACTGTACTGACTATTACACCAGTCATTGATGAGAACTAAAGAAAGGCTGAAGCCAAGAAGGCAATAGAGATATATGCAAGTGCTAACTGGGTTAGAAAGAAAATAAAATGAACTGAAGCAGCTTTCTGAAGCTGGGGTATCTCCTACTGCACATTACGCCTGCCCATTTCAGCAACAAAATGTCTCATTTTTGCACTCAGCAATTCAAAAACATGCAGAAAAACTCTTGGCTTAAAAATCCAGTTTTCTTACTTCTCACCCATCAAGGAAGGATGGAATGTTTGTGAAAGAAAGGTATTTAATGTTTTCAATTTCAACACCATGTAACTGCACCAGAAACCAAGGAAAATATAAATCTATTAGCAATATGTATGTTCCAAAGAGGAATATATGCTTCTCCAGAAGTATTTTAGACATTAAAATTATTACCATTCATTTAACATGTTTGGTAAACCTGCACAAAGCACCAGCCTTAGGAAAGGCTCCAAAGTAAACATTGTAATACAAACCAATTTTCCTAGTCATGTTTGAGGAAACACACAATATGCAGTGAACCACAACTATTTGAAGAACAAGCCTGGTTTTGCATCACTGAAAAACAAGCAGGGAGCACAGCAGGTCTGCAAAAACCCCCCCACTTTTACATTAAGAGACCAGAGAACTGTTCTCTTACTGAGAACTGTTCAGTAGTGACCAGTATGACAGCAGTTGCTATACTTACATGTTCCTCTGGGTAAAAAGGCTGCTATTTGCTGCTAGTTTATTGGCCTCAGACAATTCCACTATTCTCTGCTCCAGTGACCTAATCTTCGAATCCATTGCATTGATCATCTGAAACAGAGCAATGTGCCTTTGAGACTGCACAATAGAAGTGATTATAAAAACCAGTGTTTAAAAAAAGTCTGAACTTTTTCCAGAAACAAAAAGAAGGAAAAGAAAACCGATCAAATGGCCAAAAGAGCATCACAGATGCAATTACTGGAGCTATTTACAACTGCTTTCTACTGCTTTAATATTAGGAGAAAGCAACGATTATATTATCAATGCACAAAAGGATGGGTACACTGCAAGCTACGTGGCTACTTTTAAGGAAATATTCTTGAAGACACCCTGAATTAAAAACCTTGTCTTTTACAATTAGTATTGATCAGTGGATTTCCTTCAAACCAGCTCAGCAGCACTACAAAACCTCAAACAAGATTATCTTGCTTGAAATCAGAGTCTCAGGAAGCTACTCTTAAAATGCTTTGATTTCCAATTCAACCATACATACCGCCTTCTGTTCAGCCAGGACTTTACATTTTTCACGTGCTTCTTCTTCATGTCTTCTGAGCATATTCTCAAGTGCTTCCTTATCTGCAAGATCTTTCTTCATCTGATTTTCCAACACCTAAATGAAGACATTTCTTTTGTCTAAATTATATCTGTTTCACTGGGCAAAGGGCAGGCAGAAAGAAAATCATCAAGGAAGACAGAAATTTTTTTTAAGCAATTGATCATATCTCAAGCAAAATTAAACCCAACATGCAATTGCATGAAATCCATGGAAGAGCAAACTCCAAAAAAGAGAACTCCCTCAGTTATCTCTGAATTTAATGATAGAATTTTATGAAGACAGGGAGATAAAATAAGAATTTAAAAAATCTACACTTTAATGATAGAATTTTATGAAGACAGGGAGATAGTGTAGATCTTTTAAATTCTTATTTTAAGTCATATAAACTGTGTTCAAGAAATATCCCAGGCTAATGTAACAGAAAACAGAAAAATTCTATACCCCAATGTGTATAGTAGAGGAAATAAGGAAGTGCACATCCTTTGGCTGCCCTACCAATATGGCTCAGAAGTAATTTGTAAGTTCTGTAAGTATGCATGAGAAGGCAACTGAGACCTCATGAATTCTTCAAATCAGAGACACCGAATGAAACAGCTAAGTAAAAGACTTCTTTTTATGGCACAAATACCTGTCGTCAGGAACCGGACTAAAGTAATTAATTGTTACTTTTTTTTAAAAAATGCATGTTATGTATGTATGTCCAGAGCTTTAAAACAATTGTTAAAACTGAAGGGCATTTCCTTCAAAGACAAGTTTTCAAAGGCACAAAGTCTGGATGCTACAGGATATATTTTACTGTTCCAGTTACAAACATCACTCTTTCATCCCTTTGAACTTTTTTCACCCGGCTTCTTGATTGTTCCTACTAAGCCCTATATCACGTCTCCGTAATACACTGGCTCTCTTTTTGTTTTAATTATTTTTCCAATCCCTATCCCCTTTTCTGATTTTTATGTCACCACTTCTCCTTTCCCAACATCCACCTGTGATCTTCCTGTTTTCTATCACTCTCCTCTCATGACTGATTACCACATGCTCTGATATGCCAAGAAACCTTCTTACTTCTCTTTTTTTCCTTCATATTTCTCCCACAGAAATTCCTTCTCTCCTCTTAAATACTACATCCTCTCACATTTAAGCTGAAATGTAGAATTAAAAGTCCTAGGTAAATGTACTAGGCAAAGATTGCTGAGAAGAGATTATGCATAGTAGAAACAAAGATTCTTACAAAATGCATTTACTGGCTGACGTACTGCAGGTTCTTTAGAAAAATCCTTAGCCAGTGCACATACTCCTATTTCCCAATTTGTTTCTCCTAATTTTAGATGGTGTCTATGATTCTATTTCTAACTGTTTGTTAAAGTCTTATGCTACCCTGGAAAAGACAAAAAAAAAGTGGGTGGTTTCTGTGACTTCTTGGCAGATGTTACAGCTCCGAGATGGAATTTCAGAAACACTCTAGTATTTGCTGAATTTAAAACTTGCAGGTAGTCTGTATGAATACTCTTAGAAAATCACCAGTAGGAACTGAAAGCTTTTTAAGGACGTGAGATCCAATAGCATTAAGTAAGTATTATTCAGTCAACAATAGTCAAATTACAATCAACAACTGCCCTCCTATAGTTCCGACTTCAAATGCCACCTGTTTCAATGCAGTGCTAAAGGCAGATAAGATACAATGGCATGGACTAGAATAAAAATTTATTCAGATTCCACTAAGATCTCTGAACATTTCAGTAGTGGTAAGAAGGCAACTCATAAGACTAAGCAATCTGAGCCTAAAGGCAACTGTTTTTCCCTCAACTCATTCTATCCACAAAAGCTTGTCGGAAAATGATAAGAAGATATTTTTACTTTGAGTTTTTCCTCATAGAATTGTTCCTTCTGTTTCAGCTGCAACTCCAGATGTTGTGCTGCAATTTGAGCCTCACGATGTTTTTCTTCCAGTTCCTAAAAGCAAAGATTCATATTCAGACACAAAGAAATAGCAGGTGCTCTGTGTGTGTGTTACACAGGCATCAAACATTCATTCATTCTCTTTTTTTAAGGCTTCACACTATAAAAATCCCAAGACCAGGGCTGTCATAGTAAAAAAACATTATGAGAGCTGCACATTATCAGTTCTAAGCTTTGCATATTGCTGCTGACCCATCTACTGTAGAGCAGATAAACTGCTAAAGGCAAAGATTTCTACTTCCACGGTAAGAATCTACATTTCCCAGTAAATATTCCCAAAGATGGGCCGAGGATGTTTCGTGAAAACAAGCAGTTATAAAGACTTTATAGCTGCAGTGGCATCACAGGAAGTTCAGATCTATTTTTAACAAGGTCTCTCACTTGTTTTCTCACAGAAGACCTCAATAAGGGGGCACTGCTGTCTATGCTTTTCATTCTGCGTTCATAGAGTGGGAATAGCATTTACTCTGCTATATTCCTCAGATGAATGTTGTCAGAATAACTATAAATTGCTTGGAAAATGAAAAGTGCAGGATGCAGTATATATGGGAGAACATACCAGAATATTTTTAACCTCTTTACTTCACATCAGATAGTTTGAGCCATGCACAATAAGGACTTAAATAACTTGTATCTCACAAATTAGCTATTTCTGCTGTCTGACTATATTATTCAGGATATATCTATAATCACTTTCCAACAAGGCACCTTGTAAGAGTTGAGCTTAGAACTTTATGCTCATTCATTTTCATATTGGCCATTCCAACAGTTTTCTTAGAACAAGAGGCAGACCCAGGTCTGTCATTCTCTACCACTGGGTTGACTGTTGCATAGACAAGTTCAGATTTTGGGATGCATCCAGGTCTCCTGTCTGCCTTCATTATTGCATAGCACAGGAAAATTTCCTGATGTTTCTACTTTAGCTCTTTTCATATTCTCTTTTCTGATCTTCCTCATCTTGAATACATACAAAGACTTTTTTCTCCAGTAATTGCAATAGACCTCTTTTTCCAGAAGTGAGAATCAAAGGGGAGGTTCACCAAAAGTAGGTCATTTACAGTGCCTAGTACCCAACACTTCTGCAAGGAATGGAGATTGCTGCTTTTTGCAATTGAAATATGTCTCCCAGCAACAAGAGGGACAACTCACCTCCCCCAGAAGCCCACACGTTTCAGGTCCTGGCAGAGAATCAGACAACCAGATCAGCAGCAGCTTCAAAGCTACCAGCATCAGACTGCTCATATTGTAGCAGAAGCTTCACCAGTTTCTGCAGTGGCACTTAACAGCCAGTGTGGGCTTAAAAAGGTAATCTCCTACCATTCCAGTTCTCACTTACTGTTCTCTATGTAGCACTAACTTTGTTATTAGCATCATAGCAATGATCTACACTTCCAAGCAGTAATAAGTATCTTCTCTAACTTGTTTCTTACTTCTTTATTCAATTCTCTACAGGCAGATCACCAGGTACTTCCCAGGTACTGCTAGATGAATGTACGTGAAACCAATGCCTTTATTCAACAATTTCCAACTTATTCTATGCAATTTTGTATCTTCAGCTCCCTTCCTACCTTACTATACTTTCTATACCAGGAAAAGTCAAAAGTGCTTGAAGATAGCAACTTGAGGGAACAAACAGGGTAGAAGTGGGGGGAAAAAAAAAAAAACCTATTACCCTGTGCTGTAAGAGCTGCAAGGGACTAGGAAAGACTCTGTAGGATTTCTTCTTCAATGCCTGTTTGTCTTTTTTATAAAATACTTTTGCCTCTCTCCAACATTCTGTCAGAACTCCATGGAAACTATCTATAAGAAGAGCTAAACATATCCCATGGTGTAAAACAATTAGCCGATATTTCTGCAGTCCCTTCCAGTTTTTCCTCCACAGAGGACGTAATCAAAACCAAGGAACAATCCCCAAATATACACAAGAGGCTTATGAAACAATCTGAAGTTTTACACTATTTCTAAACATAAAGTTGGCTCTGTGCCCAGCAAAACCATAGTCTCCCACTTACCGTGCACTCATGTTATCAAAACAATTTGAAAGAAACAGCACTGCTAAAGAACTGAATCTACCTTTACTTGAGAGCGCTCATGCATTCTGATGCTGAAGTCTACATATGCAGCTATTACCCAGAACAAGTATGGGTCATCTATTGACTCCAAATACAGTTATTTATACGTTTCCATTTGGCCTTCCTCAGGTGTGTTTATGCTCAGGATTGCTACCAATAAAAAGTAATCTTTCTGTGTTGCCAATATGATAAGGAAAAAAAAAGAATTCATGAGAAATGAAAAATTAATTTAATTATTCCACTATAAAATTATTCTTCCTGTCCCAGGAAAGTAAAAGTATTAGAAACACCCTCTGCTTGGTTCACTGTAGACTGACATACCAACTCACTGTAAAGATTTAATAGGTTTAGCAAGAAGAGAAACAAGAAATTGCCAACAGAGAAGTTATGTGGGTGAAAATGGATTCCTGACAAATATTATCTTTGGAGATGAACAGTTTAGATGACTAATTTCTCTCTGCTTCAAAATGTAAGCATTTCAAGTAGATCTGACCTCTAAATTCCTTTGCAATTTAGTTTAAAAGCTAGATAGCACAATTTTTATTCTTGCAGTATCCTGTCCTGAGAATGTTTTACTTCTGAAACAATTGTTAGGTAATTAATTTAAATATTACTAACTTGACGTAAAACTGCTCCTACTGAGACAAACAGAATTTTAAAAGAGTATTGAGACTAAAGGTATAGGACTGAATTTGTAACTAAAGGTGCAAATAGAATTTGAGTGCTTAAGCTTTCTCCAGTATGACTGGTGCAAGAAACAAATCCCTTTATTCAACAATTTCCACCTTATCCAATGCAATTCAATGTCTTCCGTTCTTTTCCTACCCCTTTCTTACAAACTCTTACCCTTTATCTTTCATTTTGACCTCTGCTCACCAGAATTTTTTCTGCCATCTGTTGAATCTGTTGAGATTTAGTTTGAATATCTTCCTTTAGACGGTTTTCTCTTCGTTCCACAGTCTCTAATCTCTTCACTTGATTCTCCAGAGAATGGCGCCGTTCCTGCAGAGCGATTATTAACTGCCATTTAGGCTAACCAACTGTGCATTATCACAAAGCAACAAGTAATTTCTAGAAAAAGTCAGCTGAAGCAGTACATATGGCTGTCTTATATTTGAAAACCTCATCATGCCCCAAATCCCTTATGCTAACCACGTGTCCTTATTGACTCCTCACTGAAAATAAAAAGCCTCTCTTTTTAGAAAGAAATATATGCTTTTTAATTAAAAACGGGTTAATGTCTAATATCACTTTCCTGTGAAGAGTTACTCCAGGAATACATGCTGTTCAGTCATCCAAGATGAGGGTTCCTGAACTTCCCAATAACTAATTTACTCTAGATAGACATTCTCCACTCACCTCCGCTTCAAGCAATTTCTTCTTCATGCTTTCATTAGAATCTTCCCGATTCTGCAGTTTCTCTAACTCCTTCTCAGCTCTCTCCTTTGCTTGACGGATATTCTGAAGAAGTTCAGTTGCCTCTGAGCTAGCTTTTACAGCCTAAAGGTGCAAAGGCAAAAAAAAAGGTTTTGTAAGAAAAACACACACACAAAAACCTGGTATGTGAAAAGTTCATAACCTTAAGATGGTCAACAGTCTGAATAAAATTGCTACAGATTGCCTAGCAGTCTAAAATTAAGACAACCTATAAACATGTGCAGGAACCAACATTCTAACTTCTGTTACATAATTCTTTTCTGTTTCACAAAAAAACTGAAAATCCAGGAGATCTACATGATTGTCTTGCTGTACTGAAAGTTTCTAATTGTCTTTGTACTGAAAGTAAAGTCTACCCCAAAATTGAGCTCAAGTTCTTGGAAAGAACTCACAAAATACTCTTAGTAAAACACTAAGAGAATAAAACCTGTTGGCCTATAGATATTTCCTTAGAATTAATGAAAGGAGAAAAGGGGAGGGGGGATTAAAACTTGTTTGAAATATTAGAAGTACTATTTCTACATAGTTTTGGCCTCCGATTCTAGACCACTAATCCATGCACTCTCTCAGCAGGTGCTAATTTGAAAAGCTCCCTCAGTGGATTGTTATGACAACCCCTTCCTTTTCTGCCGAAAGATCCCAATAAGAGAAGTTCTCCTACTGTTCTTACAGTGCCTTCTCAAGTGACAGACTGACCACATCTGCAAACATTAGATATTATGTACTACCTTCAGCTTACATTGCTAAGGTATTTTAATTCTGTTGTGAATCCTTATTGTTCAACATTTTTACTGTGAATAACTGATCTGGAAAGTGGTTTTGCAATTAAAACGGAGCATACTGAGAGACTAAACCAAATCCAACATGTATTTTACTAGTGAACTAAAAACATCTGAACCCTGTCTTCAGAAGCAAGGGACCAGTGCATTGCATACAGCACACCCAAACTGGCCTTTTAAATTAGAATTTCTCTACACTACTCCAGTTCTGACTCAGCTTCATTTGTAAAAATAAACACTGTTGACATGTCTCAAGAGCCAAAAGCATATTGAGAACACCAATGATTTCAGATACCAGTTCCCACCCCCTTTTCCTTAACATCCCCCATGCTATGACTAACTCTATTTTTGAGGATAAAACAAAGTGTATCCCTCGTTTGCATTACGGTTTCACTGGAGAATCTTGTGGAAAATTTACTTTCACCACTCAGACATTACCTTTGTCAGTTTTTCCTGCAGCTCCTGGATTTTGGCCTGCTGCTCTGTATTGATCTACAGTTAAATAAAAAGATGAGGGGAAAGAGCATTCATAAAACCAAAAAGGAAAAAATGCTCTCTACTTATGATACCGTATTTATTTTAATTCATTTCCCAAAAATCTTTGTTTCTCCCTATAAATTCCAACACACCAAAATGCTCCTTGGCAAATCTACTCCCATTTTACTAACTTCTGGTTGATTTCTTATTTTGGTCACCAAGTAGATTGTTCAGTGTGAGAATACTCAGAATTCTTTTTTATTTTTCATTTGCTATTCTTTATTGATAAAGAAGACCCTAACCAACCCACTAACCTAACTCCAAACTCAGATTACACATAATGGCCTGTCTTTGCCTAGCTTCTGAACACAATCCATTAAGAAAAGGATATCCAGACACAGCTTTATATCAAACCAGAAAGAACCATGAATTGCACCAAGAAAAAGATTTTAAAATAAAATAGGGAGGGATGTGACGCTGTGCATGCCATTGACTAGCCAAAGACATTCTTGGTTTCTGTGCATAACATGAAAGACCCAGGAAGCAAACTCCAGACACCAAAGTAGCATACCTTCTCCAGTTTGGAATACAACTCTCCTGCTTCATTTTTTCCTTGATCTTTAACCTGTAACTTAAATATAAGATATATAAAAGCCTCAGGAAAAGTGGTAGTACACTGGTCTCCTATCCAGTCATGCAATTTAAACACAAGCAGTTACACAAAGTATAAATTACATTATTTCAAGTACACAATTGAAAAGACACTTTGTATTAGTTGTACAAACCACACTACTCTTTAGAGGACACACACCTAACTCATGTGTGTGTGTAAAACAGCACTAGAAATTCAAGCAGGCATCAGCCCCCTCTCCCATGAAGCCTAAACTACCTTCTGCAATTTGTTGTGACATTCGGTAGCTTTACGTTTAAATTCTTCAGCTGCCAGGCGGGACTCTCTCAACTCCGATTCATAAAGATCACTACGTCTGCGAGCTGAAATAAGATCCTCTTCTAATTGATTCATCATCAACCTCATTTCTTCTACTTGAGCTTGATATTCCTGTAGTTGTGGTGGAAGGGAAGGAAAAGCTATTACATTTTAGAGGCAACAGGGGAAATACTTGGAGCAGCAGATCCCAGAATACTGATTGCAGGCAAGAGGCGCATTTAAGAATATGTGGAAGAAAGGTAAAGTACAAAATAAAACAATAAGAGCTAAATAAAATAACATATTCATGGTGTTCTGGTTTGAGTCTTGCCATTTTCAAGTCAATATCTCATAAAAGTCAAAACATTGACTTTCTGAGAGTAGCCTCACTGCAGAAACACATACATACATCTATGTAAAAATGATAAAAGTTACTTACATTTCTAATTTCTGAAACAGAAATGTGCCTTTGAGTTGATGTCTCTACTAAATGCCCAGATGCTCCCTCAAGATATATTTTCTCAGGCTGATAACATGACAATTACCACAGATCTGCACAGCTTGGGTAAAAGGAAAGAAGGAGAAGCAGAGGGGTAGCATATTGTGGCTTCTAGCCGTCAATTATTTTCTCTTGACAGAGATAAAAAGGATCATGTCGCTCTGTAATGGGGAAACAACCTAAAATCAAATATTAACTTAGATAAACTGTCTAAAAATCACATTGCCCATAAAAGATATTTGCTTATATAGGCAGAAATAATGATTCCCCATGCAGGACGCTAAAAGATAAGGGCATTTGGGTGGGGAAGGTGGAAGAAGAAAAGAACATTTGAGTCTACTGTCTCTGAGACTGAGTACTCAAACTGAGACTACCTCATGAGATTGCTTCTCGCATCTTTACTGGAAAAAAAGAATTTAATTATGTTTATTTAGCATTTACTAAATCCTGTAAGTATGTATTTTATAAAATTACTCTAAACAAAAAAAACCCAAAACAAAACACGAAATATTTTTTTTATGAAGCTGAGAACAAGTAGAAAACACGCACATCAAGAGCTAGGAAAAAAAGATTACGAAGGACTGACAGTGGGGGAGTCTATCTTTCCATCTATCTTTTCCATTTTAATATCTTACAGTATGCCTGACTACCCCCATATTCAAAAGAGTAACTGTCTCATGACAAAATCAGGTTTGTCATCACTCCTTCCAGACAGCCAGCTGTCTTCAGTTAGACAAGTGATTGCATGAACACTGACCCTAATGTCAGCCTGTGATTCTCTAGCAACATGGAGAGCTTATGCAGATATTTAAAGAAGCTGTGCCTTTAACAGATTGCTTTACTATCCGTTACAGGGAGCATGGCAGAACGGCTCTTTGGTTTGTAATCCCCAAATTGGTTCTCCAGTTTGTAAGGCAGACAGGGGACCTACTCCTTCCAGTTAGTCTCTTTATGGATAATCTTATTTTCTTGATGGAAAGAATTAGAGCCTTTTTATAATAAGTCAGCATACACTAACTCAAATATTTGTTTCATACAAACACGTGTGAATAAAAAAGGCAGAACGGTTTGAAGAAATACATGCTCTGATCAGAAATAATAATTTGTTAAGATTTCCTAAAATACTCTGCTTTTATATCAGCAAACACTTGACCAAAGAATTATAGGTATGACTGCAGTTGCCACTGTGAAAATGAGTGTTTGAGAAGGGAGGAAAATGGGGAGGGAGAAAAGAAGGAAGAAGATAAGATAATTAGTAATATTTCAGTTTTTCTTGTTTCTTGATTTTGCAAGACTATCTTTGAATAAATCAGGTCAAAGGAACAGGCTGCATCTCTCAAGGCAACACAGAACAATACCTCTTGTATATGCATTGGTCATAGTTTAAAAACTTTCGAGATGTACTTAAGTGCATATTAATGGACAGGCAAAGCTCAGGGCATATACCTGAAGCAAATCACATCAGGGTAACAGCATACAAATGAGTGGGCCTTTCAAAAAAATACAGATTCTTATTTGTTGCAAGTTCATCCATCCATATGGGACTTCATCAAGTAACAACCAGAACACAGTTAAAAAACAAAACAAAACAAAAACCAAACACAGATCCCAAATCAAAAAAACTCCAAACCAGAAACCCACCACGCTCTTCTATTCAAGTACCTGGGGTTAAGTTGAACCTACAGTCTTGCCCAGAAAATACCAAAAGCCTAATTATTGGGTTTTGAAGATTCTGATTTGCTGTTAATTTTACTTGTTCTCTCTCAAGATTCAGGTTTTCAAAAGCAAAATCCTAAGAGACTCTTCCATTTCATCTCCTACTTCCCTCTTGACTTAAAAATAATGATCCAATTCTTTAATGGCTAAGATCCACCTTCTGGTATGAGTCAGCAAAAACATCCCTGTATATTTTGTTGCAGTTTTCTTGCACATGAGTTTCAGATGGCTCAGAAGACCACCCCAGATATGAAAGTCTACAGGATATTACAAATCCATTTGTTGACCTAAGCAACATTTTTATGTCATCATGAACCTTCACAAGCCAAATTAAAAGATTCTGGGGCAAAATATTTGATTGAAAATTACTTGCATTAGTTTTCCTCTCTTACATGCGTCTGTACTGCCTAAGAATCTATTGATATTTATCATCACCAAAAATGTCCCACATTTCAGTATTTAAAGCAACTTTGCTAAACAAAGCACCAGAACACAGAGTAATGAGCTTCAGATCCCTTCTATTACATAAAACAACCATCCAGAAGAGTGCTGTAGAAGTCTACAGAGGCCTGCTGCATCCAGAGGGCTGGTTTTGCATTTCATTACTTTTTACATAAGAGCTGCTCATGTCTGGAGAATTATTACCAAGGTTTCTGGGCTTCCTTGTCTCAAATACTATGAAATTAGTCAGTTAATGTTTGTGAAGTGCTTTGAAGATGAAAAACAACAGATAATTGCAAAGAACTGTTTGAATGCCGTAGCAAATTTCAATTTCTTTTTCTCAATTCAATATGTTGCTATTAATTCATAAAACTGAATGGGTTCTGGCGTGCAAACCACTTTAAATCCTAAAAATGTCCACATTCGTCACTATATTTCCCTTTAATTTTGACATTTTTTTCCTTATGAACAACTGTATGGATTAATGAATTTTCAGCATTCTGGTGAAAAAAAATTATTAACATCTACTTTCCAAATAGATTAAATTAGGAAAAGAACAGTTAAGACAACACAGATTCTATTTTGAAAGACTACTTGGCATTTTAAATGGACAGATAAGAAGGAAGAAGAAAAAAAAAAAACAACACAAAATTAAGGCTAGCTCAGTTCTCTCCCAGGTGAAGATTCATGAACTTGTGAAATTTGTATAGCTTGACCATTTTAAATGGATACTTCATTTCTAATGCATCATATTACTAAAGCATTGCAACTTTCTCCTAAGCTGGTTTTATAGACAAAGTACTTTCAGAACTAGGAAAATAAAAACTTGAAGTTTGGAGTTTGCGCTTCCTTGCAATATACACAAAAGTGTAGTTTTGTTGCTTCCCATTTTGTTTAAGAAACCATGTGAAAACACACAGATTGGGAGTCATCACAGTCTACCAACATAAAACATAATCCTGGCAACAGAGCTAGAATATGCCAAGAACACCTATTTGTAGATAGCCACTCTGCTCCCCAAAGAAGCAGGTATACCTGTTCTTTGATCTCTTGCAGTTTTCGGCTTTGCTCTCTGATATCATGAAGTAGCTGTAGTGCCTTATCATCTTCCTGAGACACCTCCATCCGTGCCTGCTCCAGGCTTCGCTTTAAGCTCTGCAGAAAGCAAAATGTTCAATACATAGTCTTTGGCTTTTCAGATGGCTGCATAAGAAAGACCTATAGCTATACAAATGCAGCAAGGCATCAAAAAAAAAATCGAGTCACCAATGATGGAACCCTAAAGAAATTCATGGCCATTGCTGCTTCTATCTGGATAGAAGCAGCCCATTTTACAAACACAGTTTACTACACTGAAATCTTAGTTCAAATCTCTACTTCCTCACATGAGGTTTAGGACAAAAACCAAACAGAGATCACAAAAGGCATCCATTATTGACAGCATTTATCTATATTTTATCTAGCACTATTAATTCACAACCTAGATACAATCCTTCAACTTCATATTACTAACAAGCCTATTCATTTTTCTTGTTGCTGTTAAGTGAGTCAAATCCTTTAATCATCATTAAACCTCTACAAAGAACAGAGGAGCTGCTTCTGTATCTCACTACATACCTTACCTGCAAATTTTGACAGACCAGTGGTCCTCCTATCAACTGTGTATTATTCTTCAACAGAAAGATACAAACTTCATCTTACTTATTTATTTATTTACCCAGTAGCACCTGGTATAGGAAAATCACTCATTTAAGAAATGTTTCCCAACAAGCAAACCTGTCAGAAATGCTTTTCACTTCTCTGAAACTTTTCAATTCTCTTTTCTGCTTTTCAATTCTCTGAGTATTATCTGGATTTTTGCTCTTGGTACAAGAGAGAAAACAGAGTATTATATCCAACTGAAAATACAGAGACTATTAACTAGAACGAAAATATCCTCACTGGAATCTTGCCAGGACAACGGGGCAGACATTCCAGCTCCCATGAAAAATACCAAATGATCTTTGACAACACAGTTTTAAGGCCTCATTTTTATAAGCTATCTGAAAAATAGCACCTGTCCTAGCATCTTCCCTGACATTATGCTGCGGAACTGGATCAGTCTGAACTCGGAATACCACAGATGGAGGCAACATCATTTTTTCCTAGTCCTCTTATTTGTCCTTGAAGATATCTGCCTAGGTACTGATTAGGCCCCATCCTCTTCTGGCTAAGAAACCTGCAAGAAGTCAAACCCAAGCATGTTCTAGCACAGCCAGTAAGACAAACATCACAAAGTTTCAGCAAGACCAGAACAATAGTTATTCCTGTATTGCTCTAAGCACACAACCACGAAACAAAGTTTGAATAAAACTATCAAGCAAGCCTCTGCAAACAATTCAGGGCTCCATATTCAGCAGATATCCTGTCAGATTTTCTCTCCATCAAGTACCCCACTGAAATCATGATGGAAGAGAAAGACAAAGACCACCAGATTTCAGGCCTTCAGAGCTGAAAGGACTGGTGTAAGGGCTCACACTGCATTCTGTGATATAGGTGGCCAGGTCCTGCTCCAGGAGGGATCGCTGGGTCTCAGAGGCTTTCAGTTCCACCTCCTTTTGGCTAAGTACAGCCTCCACCTCTGACACTCTCCGGTGCAACCGCGTCATTTCCTGCTCCATCTGCAATAAATATCAAGAGGTTATAAAGGGGGCTTCAAAAGCTTTGTTAACTGCTACTTTCAGAGCTCTGTTTGTAAGGAATTTGTCTCCAAGAGACTTCTAGCTATGTTTCTCCAAATGGTGTTTAAATTCCAATACCATTGTCTCTGCTCCAGGAATGCACAGTTCTTCTTAAGGACAAGTAGTAAGTCTAAGTCACCCCATTCATTCAAGCTGCTTGTTCATATTCAGTCATTCTTCGAACCCCAGTTAGCAAAGAAGACACAATCATTTTTCACCTGACTTGCAGAGATGGGTCACTTTAACCTTATCCCAAATCCATGCTGGACCAGAAGATGGTTTCCCCCCATCTCCTTGTCAGGAACAAATGGTCAAATCCAGAACAGAGAAGGGAGAAAAGTAATCGAACTCTCATAAAAGTCTCAAACAAGCAGTAAGTATTAAAAGACTCCACCGGGTTCCCTTTATTGGAGCACAGCAACTGCTATAAGATGTTCACCATAACCAGTGACGTGACAACAGTTATGTAAGTAGAAGCTGATGAGTTAGGCAGAGAACGTCAGAACAGTACTGCTGTAATTGTGCATATGATGAAGAGGCACGGCCTGCAGGAAGAAGCAGTCGTCTGTGTCACGCTGAGAAAAGGACTGTTTAAAATCCAGAGCCGCTTCTTGTTAAGATACAAGTATCTAGAGCAACAGCATGGCCTAAATTCATCTCCCTTTGCATTGGACAGGAAGCCACCTCACTGAAGGAAAAGCACTTTGCCCACCATGAGTCTGGATGATCAGCAGCATCTGACAGATCCCTGGACATACAGTGGTTGCAGATTCCTGGAGCAATGGAGATGGCCAATCGTGTAAATAAATACCTTGTGACACTTGTCCTGGGCGTCTTGGAGTTCTTTGCTCTTGAGAAGAAGTTTCTTTTCCATGGAGCTGACCTTGGCTGGAGAATCCACACTTGAAAAAACAGATCTAAAAGAGCAAAGCCAAACAGCACATGAATATAGGCAAAAGGTACAGAAATCTGCATTTATGCAGCCTTGGTAAAGTCATAGGGTACTTACTTATACCACGATAAAAGAAAGGTGGAGCAATCACAGTCTAACAGCCATCATTTCAGATCAAACATACCACAAAACCTGATGACAGTATATCATTATTAAATAATCCATGTGTACTTCTATTTACAATATTAATATTTTCCATCAGTGACTGTTATGTCAGAGTGCAAAACAATAAATCACAGCAACATTTTTGCTTAACTTGTACAGATTTATAAATGTAACAGAAAAAAAGCATAAAGTCAACGTAACCATTTGGAAAGATAACAAATTTTCAGAGAATTGTTTTTTATTTTGTACTTTATTTTTAAACAGGGTTTAAAGTTATCATCAAAGTACAAAAGCCCTAAAAACTTTAATATGTCATAATCTGCACCACAGGAAGAAGAATTTAATATCCTTACTTATCTTCCCTGAATCAAAATTGAACTGAAACTTTCCTAACCCATTTCATACAATCCCTACAAACTCAATCAATATCAATATGATTAGTCACACTGCAGAACTTCAGAGTTCTACTTGTAAGTAATTTTTTCATGAGACACAACTTAACTGTACTATACAAAACAATTTGACTCCAGAAACCTAGGGAAAACATTTACATGTTCTTAAGCTTTCTAATTGGGACTCAACATTTAAGAAGTTTACCGTTTCTATTAGTCTAAATTCTTTCTAGAAAAGGATAGGAAGCCACTCAATGTTTTGGAGCATATTTTTAGTGCTTTGCAGTCTTAAATATGTAATTTGCAACCAAAAATTAAGTACACATATCAAAACATAATTTTAAAAATCACATTCTCCCTCGCATAAAATGATTCAAACTAGATATTTAAGCAGTTAATGATGGAACCAGTGTTACCTGATAGATGGAAACGCAGAAGTACAATGAAGGTGCTAATAAAAGATCATACAGTCTGCCCACACATTGCTTTCTGCTTCTCCTGGCCACAGTTTGGTATGCAGCCAGTTATCCCCATGGAGAGAAATGAGCTTTGAGCAGCTCTCTGCATATAGCCATACACCCACACACAGCAGCACAGTCTCTTCTTAACACCAAGGAAAGTTTGATTCCATCACCACCATTTTCTGAGAAAAATCTACTCCTTAATCCAAACATATATGCAGGATAGTCACAAAAAAGAGAGACATGGATTTTTATGAAAATGCTGCAGCAACATATGTGTATCAAAATAGATCTTCAGTATCACCACCTTAAGCAGTCATTAGGAAACACGTTTCGATATTAACAAACACAGCAAAATCCACCAATTCTGCCGTGAAAGGTCAAATATTAACATTTCTTCAGAAACCTAATGTGGAAAAACTTAGAATGAAGAATCCTGCATGTCAACAATACAGATATGATCAGGACTTAATCATAAAAAACAAACGTTAAAAGTGAACACTTTCGTAAAGCATTCCTTTAGTCCCAGTTCAATCAATCTGATCCATCAGATTATCATATTTAAAAATCAATTTATAAAGCGTGTCTGTACTCCTACAGAGAAAAGGCAACCATCTGAGAAAGATGCATATTAAATCCCATAACAGCTGGGTGTACAAACAAGGCTAAAAATGAATAGTTGAGAAAAGCAGTCTAAAAATACAAGTTAAAGCTCACATTAACTAAAAAAGACACTAAGGAATCTGCTTTAAAATGTTAATCAAATATATGTAAATAGCTGCAAATGTGTACTGAGACAAGTCTGAAAATCTTTATAATAAAAATTTAGGTCTGAACTGTACTGGCTAAAGCAATTTTTTTTGTTATAGTTTCAATGTTAGCCATCACCCTTTTACTTCTATTCTTTTCACATCTGAGACATTACCTAAGAAAACCCTAGCCAGTTCTCACAGACCTGGTTTTATTTGCTGCTTCTATTTCACCTCCCTAAATGGGCTAATTTTATTTGTAATTTTTGCTTATTTATTTTATTTGCTAGTAAAAGAATCAGAGCCTAATATTACAGGCACCATTTTGCATTTCAAAAATTTCTCCTAGCAAGCTGGCTTAAAGCATCCATAGGCAAGAAGATACAGAACTCTGCAAAGACACGCTGTGCAGCCAGGAGTGATGGGATGGGACAGAGTACAGGAGACTGGCACCGACCAAAGTTTGAATTTCATTACATGACTGTAGAGGGAGCTGCTCCTCAGGGTTGGTGTCAGTTTTTCAAGGAAAGAGAAGACTACAAACTAGAACTAGAATCTTTCTTCCTCATCCCTGTCCAAAGGGAGGAAGAAATTCCTTAAAAATACATGTCCTGGTGGCACGATGATTTTCCCGCCATGGCAACAGTACCTCTTATCCCTAAGTGAAGTCGATTTCAGTTAGCACTGGGCACACGGTTTTTAAGAGAGATCCTTTCCCAGTAATTCTTCCCTGTGTACAAATTACACTAGAACAACTTCATGAACATCCATACAACCTTCAAATTATCAGAAAGTGGCCAGTCAGAGGAAACTAAGAGAAATGGAATACTGACTAATCTAATAAGCCTTGTCATGGTGATACAAGCTCTCAACACGGCATGACAAGGTGGAAAATACCCACACTGCTGGGGCACTTACATTCTTCCTCAGTCAGCATCATCTCAGAAATTAAACATATACAATCCAACATCAAAAGCCATGATGCAAAGCTAACATTCAGGTTGGTACCATCTCAGAGTATTTCATGTAATTAACTGCTATATCTGGATCAATTCTCTTAGCACAACAGAGCAGTTTCTGCTGTTTCCTCTGAAGTGTGAAAAAAAGATTAACAAAAGGTAACCAGCATACATCAACAAGAAAATAGCAATAAAAGATTAAAAAACCCCCGAAGTCTATACTACCAAGCACTGATAGCACTAGCTGTGCCAATTTACTTTCAAAAGCAGCACTGCCTGCATGACTAAAAAACGAGTTCACTTACAGCTGACTATCTAGTGATTTCACAGCTAGATCAGCAACAGCCTCAACCAGCAGAACTACCAGAAATGGTGCTAGTTGTGTAAAAGCTCCTCCAGTCTTATCGTGGCTGAGATGAAGAAGAAAAAAGTATCAGTCTAGGAAAAGCTATAAGATGATTCTGAGGTATCAAACTCTATCTTAACACCTCTTGCGCATCATACCTCATACCTTCCTTTGTCCTTTTATGCCACTCTCATAAACCCCCAACTCACCTGCGTTTCTTTCTTCTCACAACGGTTGACACCATCTGTCCTAATCCTGGCCCCCACACAACATGCCTATAATCTCATCCCCCGTCCCTCATGCTCTATTCTTTTTAGCATTATACTCATCTGTACCTTCCGCCCCCTCGTAAATGCTTGCTCAGGCCTAAAAAAAACCAACCAAAAACAAACAGTGATACCATCAATCTGTGAATAGAGCTAGCTGAAGCAAAGCATATTTTTGGTATGCTCATCCTCTGCTTCCTCTTTGATCTATCTTTGGTGAAAGAGTTTACCAGAACCCGACAAAGTGTTGGAAGAAATCGGTAGTCCTTCTTTTTGGAAGAATGGTCTGTTTTAAGTCTTGGTATTTCATAATGACAATCACAAATCCATATCAAGTTTTAAATAATTAAAAAAAAAAAAAAAAAAGAAATATTGAAAAAAAACGCTTCTTAGGAATCTAGAGAAAAGATCTGGACCATCTACCAAAGCCTCACAGACCACAATTCAAGAATTACTAGGATTACCTTTATTATATTCTGAAAGAGAATTAAAAAAATAAAACCCTATATCAGCAACTGAGATTAGATACTAGGCCCACAGTCAGCCTTGCCTGTGAATACATCTCCAGGTTCTGGTTTCACAAGTATTTTGTATTAACATAAGTTTTGTATCATAAGTAACCAGGCCCCTTTAGCTCCTTTCCCCAGTCTAAGAGAAGACAGATGCAGGCAAAAATTTCCATCGTAAATTATATTTTTAATTAGGTATTTATTTTTGTTATTAGCTATTTTGAAATGTTTTAGTAGGTATTTATTTTTATTAGGTATTTTGGTATACTGGGTTATTCCTGGATTTATAATGTATTTATCTTATGCCTGAGGGCTTCTGCTAGTCACCTGCAAAGGACAAGAACAATTTTCTTTCACTTGATGCATATTTCTGGCATCTAAGGGTTTTTCTCACTTGTTCTAAGCACTGGAGATCAGCCACAGTTAGGGACAGGAAGTAAGGTGGGGCTGGCTTTTAATGGAATTAAACTCTCAGTTGCCTGTTATCTTGTCACAGTCACACACTTGCAGCCAAACCAGCAGCCAAATTTGCAGTCAGACAGGCACTTCTTCCCCAAATCAAGAATTTAGAGGCCATGATGGGAGAAGGAGTTAGCTGGTCCTTCTCTGCAGCCTGATCCCGGTTCCTAGAATCGTATAAGAGGTTGATTTAACAAACACTTTGCTAGTACAAGAACCTATGACATAAGCAATGCCCTTGATTTCTCCTGATTGCTTCCTACAACACATCATCGTCATGCCTTTTGGTCTTTTGTTAGGTCTTGCATTTGTTATAGGGTCACAAATTCTTCCCAAAACTCATGGTATAGGACAATATACAGAACATTTTCATTCAATGGACCCTTCTAAACTACACACTGACTATAAAATTTCTGGCAACAGGTGACTTAGGTGAACCCTTCTAACCCTAAGTGGTTGGGAGAAAGAGGAGAATGGAAAAGAAAACTTCTTTTATCCTTCTTCTGTCCAATTTGTTTAACTGTCCTTTCACTGAAGTATTTGAAATTCCTAGCTCAGCTATGGCTTCTTACTGTCCAGTGAACAAGGGCAAGAGTATAATCCTAAACTTCATAGCTTGACAGCCCTCAAATAAAAAGCAATGAAAGTTTCAAGGACCTTGTTAATGGCACTCTGCAGTTGCCTGGCCTGTGAGCAGCACTAGAGGCATTAGAGCTATCATGCTGCAGACACGGGAAAACAGATCTGCATCACTTAGCAACCATAAGGGTTAGACTTTCAGAGGAAAGATTTTAAGAAGAATAATTCTGGACTGATAAACTTGATTACCTAGTTCCTCCCAGAGAAGGCATCCCAAGATCCACAACAGATAAGCCTACCCTCCATTTACTGTTCTCTTCCCCATCTAGAATTTGGTATTCAAGCTAGTGTGGACTGAAACAGTACTTTTCCTCAAGTAAAACATACACCACACAATATTTCATAAGTAAGAAGTTCTCTTTATGCCACAGCACTGCAGCGATATTGAAAATAAACTAGTCACTGCATTATTTAAATACAGCTATTTACAAGTCTCCGTACACTCTTTGCCATATTTAACTCACCTTCTTAGAACAAAATGCCAGTATTTACTGCTAAAAATATCGAAGTGCATTTATTGAGATCTCGTTCAAAAAAAAAAGAAACAACTAAGATCTACTTATCTCAAAATTATTTGAGGGAAAATGTATATGATGTCTTTCTGTTCCAGCTCAGGAAAAAAAACAGGCCACACCAAGCAGAAATCTTACTTCAGTCAAAATTTCTCCAGAGCACATTAATCTCTATATTCTTTTGCTGTACCCCTTCTCATCTATTACCAAAATGCAAATATAACTTCAATACACATCTTCCGTGCTAGCTCCACGAAGAAAGCATATCAATCAATCTGCTATATCTATATTACTTTTCAGCCAGTTACACCACTGTTCCTGAGACTTTACCTCACGCTCCTCTTCAGTTCTAGTCCTGAGCCCCGATTACGTATACATTTTTACCATACATCTATGGTCACTGTTGAGCCTCTTCTGGCTGTCATGAATGGTCATGTGGCCCTGATAGACGGATTGCAGTTCCCAAGGCAGAAAAGATAACACTGTAAGTTATTTCACTCCTAAATCAAGATAAATGTTTAACCCCAGGTATCTACAGATATAACATTCCATTTTTCTAATTCTGCTGACTATTAGACCATTTCACCAAAAGAATACTTTTTTGGTTGTTATGTCCTCTCCTGTCGTAAAAGCAGCTTTGGTGAGGAGGGACAATCCAAGATTCCCTTTTTATTACCGGCATAACCATCATATAACCTTGATTCACAGTGTGGGCAAGATCAGAGATGTCAACAGTATCACCAGATTTGGTTACACGCTTACCGCAGAGCAACTATCACAACCACTATGACAAAAAAAATGAAAACTTAAGACAGATTGACAACGAAGTCCCTTAAGGGAACTAACTAAGGGCGATGAACGACGGTTGACACACAAACACAGCGCCTTATCACTAACCCAGCTAAAGCCATTGCATTCCTGAGAGGCCTCATGATACTGAGGTAAGGACTTCTCAACTTAACGTACTGCACTAATACTTTTCCAATAGCTCTGTCATCAGAAACTAACCACTCACCACACCAAATGGTTTATACCATACTATTTACATTCTTCTTTTTCTCTGACTCCATTCTCCTGGAAAGCATATCGTCTTTCAACTGGAAACCATTTTTTCTAGACCTTTACCTCACTCCACGAACACATACCCTGCATACTTCATCTGAATCTCCAGTCTCTTAACACACAATACAGCAGTCTTTGTATTTAATTTGACCCAACAGCACACAGTCAGCTGCTGTGAAGCTCCTTCTCTTATTCACTGACCCATCACTGCAAATTCCCAGATTAGTGGAGCTCCATTTCTGTGGATCACTGATTCAGCCTTACACATCCCCAGCACTTGGTGCCCACTCTCTGACCCAATAAAAATAACATCCCCCCCCCCCCTTTTCCATCTCTGAACTCCTCAGTATTCTCCTTCTTTCAGGCATCTGCAATACCAGAAATGCAATCACGGACTGCTCCCTGGTTAACAGCAACAACTAACTCAAAGTATTTGAACAATTCTAACAATAACTGTTTTAGAATCAATCTTTCCATTCCCTTCCCTCCCCCTCATCCCAGAAATAATCACAGAACAGTAGGACATGCACAAGCCACAGCAGCAACAGATAAAGCCAGAATCTGGCAGCTTCCCTAAAGCAGAGTACAGGCCAGTTAAAACAGCTTTTCCCCACACGCACACCATTCTCACTGTAAGAAACCTTCACATTTTTCCAGTGGTCCTATCCACCTAAGCAATAATTCCTACTTACTCTGATCTGAGGATCCCTAATGCCTTGATGAATGAAAACCCCACAAACGGCAAATCTTCACCCGAGAAACCTGCTGGGTTCAACTGGCGCGTAGAGGATAAAACCCGCGAATTCTTCTCTGGTTCATCAAAATTTGAGGTGTCATCATCAGACTTGAGAGTAGGAACGAAGGGGGGAGGAGCTGGTGAAAAAAGCAAGAAGAAAAGACAAAATTCAGCTACAGTTCACTCTGCAACAGCCCCACTCATTCAGTGCTTGCAATGGCACTGCAGCTCCTGCTTTTAATCTTGCTAACACAAGCAGACTGAGCTGCTGCTCTCAAATCGTATTACAGCAACAAGAGATTAACCCTTAAGCTACCAACATGGCTACCACTCTGCAGGCAGAATGTCTCCCACACTGATTAAACTGGGGTTTAGGCTGGGCACTTGGGATTGGTTTTTTGGGGGGATTTTTTGCAGGTTGGTTTGGTTTTTTTAAAACACATACATTGAACCATATCAAAGCACCAGGCTAAGAAAATCATTAATGTAATGTAGCTAAAAGCAATTCAATTCTGATTCATCTAGAAAAAGGAAATGTCTCCAACCTATCCAATTAGTGACACTGTGAGAATGTAGCACGATCCTTCGCTAGTCAGCTAAGGGATATATCCACCCTTTAACACCTCCATGAATCTTCCCAGCATGGGCTTCTGATCGACAGCAAACTGGTCTTTCCCCTGGAAGATTCTAATAAACTATAGCTACTAGAAGCTAACTGGTCTTTAGGAAGGGAAGAAATATCAGTAAGATTTTATTTCTTTAAAAGACCCTGCTAAAGATCTGGAACTCTTGTTGGGACACCACTGCAGTCTGGCTCTGATACAATCAGCTCTGAAGAGAGGTATAAATAGCAGGAATTACAATGTATTTCTTACTATAATTTCTAAATTGGTACCACTTAACTTGTTAAGCAGTTGTTTAATTTCAACTGATTTTCTCGCGTTTGCTTCAGTTTAATTACCAACAGAACAAAAGAACAAGTTCTTCTCAATGATGTGCAGCACCCGAGCTACCTGCTGGCTTGGCTACGTGTGTGTGAAAGGAATGAATGCAAAAGCCTGCTGTGCAATTTCTACCTCATTAAATCACATTTTCTAAGGTGGTTTTTGTTTTGTTTTTTTTAATTTATTTCCTCACTCGGGTCCTCACTCACGGCAAATCTACTAATCTCCTTTTTGCTCTATACCGGAGACAGCTCCTCAGTCAGCAGCTAGCACACAGCCCATTGTCACAAGCTGATGGAAGTGTAGTGTGCTAAAACCGTTACCATGGATCCAGTATAGATCTCCTGTAGCTGAAGGGCTGATGAGAATTGGAAGAACCGGGAACAAACATTACAGCCCCTGCAGTGCAGGATCCCTGCTCCTCGCTCTCGGCATGCTCGGAGTTTAACCCTACCTGCCTGCAATCGTGACAGATGCTGATGCCGATCTGACTGACACAGGCAGAGTAAGTCACGGCTGGGGCTTGCGAGCTCCCTCTAGGTTGCCAAAGCCTTTCGCAGCCCGCTTTTTTAACTCTTAATTCTCTAGGCAAACGTAGGCTTAAACTACCCACCAGACCAGCGTTAATAGCCAAAAAGAAAAAAAAAAAAAAAAAAAAAATCTGTCTGTATAAACTGCCAAATCGCAACTCCCCATGCAGGCTTTGTTAGCAGCTCCCTAAGGAGCCATTCTGCCACTGCTCCCAAGCAGCGAAGTGAGAAGCAATTCCATGAAGCAGATCGGATGCTGCTCACGTACAGTACCTCCAAGTACATTAGAATGAGATAAATGAGGAAAATATACAAATTAAATAGGTTCTGTAGTAAGCAGTTTTACTTGCTGGCTCCAGAACATTTACATTTCCTGTCAATATTATGAATTTATTAATTTCTGCTATTTTATTGGTTATAATATAAATTTAGATCCAATATAATGCTGACATTTACATATTGTAAACATAATTTTGGAATATAGATTGTTGTTTGGGATCTGTACTTTTAAAAAAAAAAAATATCACTTAATGTCAGGATAACATCCAGCTACTCTGTCATATGCTCTTAATGATTAAAAACAGAGAAGCAACAGAAAACAGTTTGTAAGTATATAATCTTTAATGCAAATATAAGCCCAAAGTTAATTCACAGCAGAGGAGGATAAGTTCAGGAATTAATATTTTTTTAGTTTAGGACCTCTGCTGAAAGACCTTTGCACATCCTCTTACAGGCAGGGGTTGCTGTGGGGTTTTTAACACTGTCTTTGAAGACAGATACTGGCTGAGAGGTAAAGTAATAGAGAAAACAGCAAACTATTAACTTTGTCTGGGGAAGTCTAGAATCTTTCTTAAAGAGGTAGCAAAACCCAATATAGCTGCCTTTTTATAATGGTATAACACCACTGTTATATGCTCCTCAGAGTCTGACAGGCAACTTCATCTTTGAAAGAGAGATCTAGTGCCTTACTTCTCACCAGAAATTAGCTAAGAAGGTCTTAAGAGTCATCTTTCAAGCCCGTGCAATTAAAAAGAAAGTCTTTCCTCTTACAACAGTCAAACCACACGCATAAAAGAAAATGTAATTTAAATATGCCCAAGATCAGCATGCACATCAAAAGATGAAAAGCATTCAATAGGGGAACAACGGATGCAGAAAGATAAAATGGTGTGAGACAGCGCAAACTTTGGGGGCTGGTGGGAAACTGGTTTTAAAGAGCACAATGTTTTACACTGCCATTTCCTCTAATGTTTAATAAAAGATGTGAACAAAGAAGAGAAATTGTGAATACTAGATTAAAAAAATAATGAAAAAATCATTTGCCCTCTATTTTGCATGCACTAAAAATCCATGACTAACAGCCCAAAAACTCTGCAACGTTGCAGTACAACTTGTTACAGTATTTGTATCAAGAAATAGTAGCAACTAAAAAGAAAACTTAGTCAACAAAAAAAACCTCTAGATGGTAAGTAGTTCTGAACTGTCAACAGTGACTGACAATGAGAAGCAGAACCTCTTCAGAAGTTTCAGGACACTGGAGGAAAACTCACTTAGGAGTAAGTGGGAATATCTTTAAGAAAAAAAAAAGCTAGATCCACTCTCTCTGATGTTGTTAATTATTTGGTAGCTTCTTCATAGTCTTTTATTCCTAAGACTAAGGAGTTCTTTGCCTTATGTCCAAAATATCCACAGAATAAACAGAGTAGTCTTGCAGAAACAAGCTAAAACAGACGAGCCATTTTGTTCTCAAATGTGGGTCACATGGTGACATAATCTCTACTTAAATTATTATTTCTTGCTTAAAATCAGAGGACTGTCACACAACTATAGTATTTTCAGAACGAGATCAAGATTGGTGAATGCAAATACACCGATGTGCTTATCAGTTGCTTCTTTAAAGGGAAGAATCCTTTCGCAGAGGTCAAGATAAGCCTCTGAGAACTAAATGTTAAAGCCATGCCATCGCATCTGACAAGGTGAAAAATTTGCACTTTTTTTCAGGCTCACCCAAAAGGGAGGCAAAACTATTACTCAAAAAGACAGTAAACCCAATGCTTCTACTCGTACAAACTGGTATAAAGACCTCTTTTTGTCTCCTTTATGTTACAAATGAACGTACATGTTCTGTTTACCATTTAAAGTATCTTGTAGAGAACTGCATGTTTTAAAAAAGCCAATTGCTTGCCTAGATACCTCCCCACTTGTGGAAGGATGTAACCCTCTTCCATCTGTTCCAAAGAATGACTTTCAGAGGAAAAGGGGGTGTTGTAGGTTGCTAAGTTTAAAAGAAAAAAAAAAAAAAAAAAAAAAAAACCCCCCACACAAACCCCGCCACATGTACACTGCAGTACTTTAACCAGTTTAACATTAAGATTAGATAAAATGTCTCTTATGGAAAGAAGCTTTTTTTCTTTTTTAAACGCGGCAGTAGTGTGTGTATTTATGATTAGTTCAAGGAACATTGCCTTAATCGGGTCTTTCAAAATATTTTCATGCAAATTCAGAAAAGAGATACTGCATTTCCCCTGGGACAGTGAAAGACTTATCTGAGATAGGAAATTTAAAGGCAATACAGAACATTTCTTAAGAATAAAAATGTGTCTTTTCTTCATCTAGAAGGTGAGGTATATATGCTTTCTGAGGAAAAGCATCCGCACAGCCTTTTTAAGTAGGTTAAGCATTACTCTTCCTCAGGCTTTAAGAGGCCTATTTGAGTAAAGTGTTATGGAAGAAAAATAGAAAATAGAAAGTCCAAGTGATGTAATTTAAGGATGTTTTCTCTAAGACCACTTAAAAAAGGGCATTATACTCGTTCTAACCAATCTATACTATATTATCTTAATAACTTTTCTGTTCTGTGAAGACAAGGATCCAACACATACATTTCTGTTAATAAAACTGATCTTCAAGCTGACATGAAAGTGATCTCCACTTGGAGAAACAAGTCAACATATTTTTCTGAAGGCAAGCATTTAAATGAAACATCACAACATTTCACTGTTAACATACAAATGACAACTTTGGGTTCATAAAGATAAGGAAGAGTCTTGGACTTATGAACAATGAGATTAGGGGTTCTGCCTGTTACAAGACAGCCTAAAAATCAGTCTTCAATACTTTCTCAAGTTCTTCTGTTTGCACAAAACATTAATTCTTCTCTTCTCATATATATGGTTTCCTCATGCAAGTCCAAATATGCCATACTGTTTTCAAGACCTCTTGAACTGCAGTTACAAAACAATTCTTAAAATGAAAGATTGTTTATGCCATACAGATATATCGCTTAGATGACAATAAAAGTCTTCTGACCATCTCTCAGCTAGCCTTCAGCAGGCAGATTTTTGGTTCCAAAATAAACAGCTGCTGTAACTTATAGATTTCAAATAACACAAGGTGATTAACAAAATCCCCAAATTTTATAGAATGCAACCTTGTTGCCAATAACTCAAGTACATCATCACCCATTCTCTACCTTTGATTTTAGATACTTATCAAGTACTCAGTTCTGTTATCAACTTTCCAGTTAAAATCCTGATCATTTAGCTGAAACACAGATACAAATAAGTTTATTCTAGGTAAATAAATTCCAAATTATTTTCAGAAAATTCTGTCAAGTAAATCAACACAATCTTTCAAAAGTTTTGATTTGTTTTCTTTTGTTTAGGGGTGTGTGTGGTAGTGTCTGCTTTGGGGTGGTTTTTTTTTAAGAAGCTTTAGAAGTCATTAAATAGCAGAAATCAACAAATACAGACAGCAAAATCTATAAACACATTTCAATACAATATTCCAAGAACATTACCTGTTGAGACAGATTTGGTTAAACCTGACCTTAGGTTTAGTGGTTGGATTCTGTTTCTGTAACTTAAGAGTTGCTTCTACAGACACATGATACTTGAACCCAAGGAAGTTGGGAGCATTATTAGAGGCAACTCTCTTTCGGGAAGGGGTTTACTGAAAAGTCCAAGTCTTTCATAGGTTACCATAACAACAAAGTGTAACACAGAAAATCCCCATAATGATACATTCTTAACCAAAAATTGGTGCATTAAGAATGGTTATCCTGGAGCTCCCAGCATGATAATTTAAATACCTGCAAGGCAGGGGTACCAATTTTTTCCTTACCCTTCTCAGTCTGAAATAGAAATAACATCATTGCTCTTATAGACTAGAGGAAAGTCTGTGCTGACACAGAATTTATTTAACAACCAGAGCATCATTTAGGTTGGAAAAGACCTTTAAGATCAAGTCCAACTCTCCACGCCCCCAAAATCTTTGACCAGATTAACTTGAGGGAGTGAGATTCTTTAATCTAAATCTAAATCCTGTGACCTCTTCCAGTACTCGCTAGTTTCCTAATTTTCTCAGGCTGCCATTGCTCCAGGTAAACACCACTGTCAGTAGAGGTCAAGATAAGAAAGAAACTTTTAGCTTTTAGATAGCCTGGGTCAAACCCGACAAGGGTTTTTAACAGAATGACAGCGACACTGCCCTGAATAAACCAGCAAATGGAGAACCACTGCAGAGAGCAAAGCAATAGGTGATACATTGAATCTGCTACTAAAAGCAAGAAGACTGCTGTGTTTTGTGCTAGTTACAGTGGGGTTTTATGAAGTATGAGACATAACAACGAAGTCAGGGGTCAAAACTGCATGAATCTTCGCAGTAGGTAAGTCCGGATATTACAGGGAATGATGCAATCCACTGGCCAGCTGCAGACAGAAATGGGATTTTTCAAATCCCAAATGATTATTTCAACATTATAATGACATCAGGGCTGCCTACCAGCTTGTCCATCAGTATCACCATTGTCACATGAAATGGCAAAACACTCAATTAACTTGGGCAGTTGTGTGAATACCGGACGGATGATTGCCAAGGAAACAACAGAACATATGTTCACGTGTTCCAGATCTGAGGTAATATGATACAAATGCAATACAAAAATTTCAGAAATGGAAACTGGTGGTCTAGGCAGGATTCTGGGGAAAGAAGGCAGAGTGAACTAAAGCCTGGGAAATGCATGCTAAAATGATGAAAAAGACTCAGGGCTCAATGGCTCTCAAAGGGCAGAAACAATGGAATTTAACAGAACAGCAGCTCCACAAGTTCAAAATTAATGAATCAACAGAAAAGTGAGTAAACATTCTGTGGAGCTGACAGCTGAAGTGCTGAGATAGTCATCAAAAGTAGCAGCACTGGCGTAGCAATTTATCATGGAAAATGGAGCACAATCATTGCTCTTACAGCATATTTGATAAAGAATATAAGGCAGACATTTTCCTTGCCCAGATAACCTTACAGTCCAAGTAATTCAAAATACTATCCAACAGAAGTCAGGCACTCATACATAGATCACTGATGATCTGTGAAATATTTACTTTTGCCATGGAGCTGGTGTCCCAGTACTTCCAAATACTAATTTCCATTGCTTTCATAGTATTATAAACAATTTTCTGCATAGAAAGTTATATGTTTCACTGATTTTATTCCATTTCTATTGGAATGAACTGATTTTTGACAAAAAATAATTATGTATTAGCTATATTAACTTTGAGGAAAAACTCCAATGCCCCTATGACCCCTGACATTTTATCACCTACGGGAGCTAAAAAAAAAAAAATTAAACAAACTTAAATGAAGCTGGATCACAAGCAATGATAGAGAGAAATCTCAATATACAACAAAAATTAATAAGATGAAGCCAAAATTAAGCAGACTGAGGTGGAAAAGGCCCAAAAGAACATACTGATGCATTTTAATCTGAGGAAAGACATGGAAAGGACCATTTTGATTTTCCAGTTGAGTGCTTGCAGTAATATGGCAATTGGATCAGAAATTCATATAGAATTGCATTAAACTTTATCTTACCTTACAATGTTCACCTGAGAGATGTTAACATATCCTATCCAAAAACCAAAATTAATTGTTTTGTTAAAACACCTGCTCCAGGACACAATCCTGTTTCATTATGAATAATTCTTCAGACCAAACACAATTCAATACTCACATTCTACAAATTTCCATGTTACCCAAAGAAACAAATTGTTCATAAATACAGTATTACTCTACTTACAGTTACGGATATTATTCCAGTCAATTTTAGAAAAAAATGGATGGCAGCAGAGCCCCTCATAACCCAGCCTTTCCTTCTGCCCACAAAGCAGGCTCTGGATCAGATCAAGAAATTCACTACTAACTTTCACATCGTCTGGGAACTTCAGAAATCTCTGCATTAGGAAGAAAAGGATTTCTGCTCAGTAGGAAAATAGTCCAGAACAGTAAGATTCAGTTGCATTATTCTGAGATATGCCAGGCACAAAGAATAAATAATTATAGCATACTAATAAAAGTAATGTGCATTTTTTACAAATAGGCTTTTATAAGCATTTACTGCAGTAAAGATAAGAACATAGGAATAACCATATCCAATCACACAAATGGTAGACCCAGACCACCATCTTATGCTGAACAATTGTCAATGGCATACACAAATGGAAGAGGAAAACAAGACACTTCTCCAGAAAATTCTTTCAAACTTCCAAGGATTTGTGGCTTAGGATTTTCTGAACCAAGGATAATGTCTTTGTATTTGCCAGATCTCAGTGGATTATTCTATGACTTTTTCTAGTCACTCCTTGAACCCATATAAACATTCAGTAGCTGCAAACTTACAGCAAAGAACTCCCCGGCGTGAGAAGGTGCTATATGAAGTATCCTTTTTTGCTTGTAACGTTACTGCTGGCTACTTTCATTTGATGCCTCTAATACCCTGTATTAGAAGAGGTAATAGGCATCCATTCTTTGTTCACTTCCTCCCAGCTACACGCGATTTTTTCTTCTTTTTCTTTCCTACTAACTCCTACCATTCTATGTGCTGCTTTTTGGACTGTTACTAAGAACTAAACTAACATTTGCATAGATTATAACATCAAGATACTATTCTTGAGCCTACCACTGGGTGAAGTTAGGATATTTTTCCCTTCACATGCATGGATTTACATTTATTTACACTAAACTTCACATGATGTTTAATCGTGCAGACACTCAATATCCTCAAGCCTTTCTGCAGCTCTTCATAGAGCTTGTCTTTACTATCCAGAAACACTTAGTAAACTTCAGAAACTTTATCAATCCACAATTCATCCTTTCAGTCCCTTTTCTAGATCATTTGGGAGATGCTGCAATTATAATTGCCTAAGATGGACAGCTAAATCTTTTTTAATTCATGCATTACAGATGGTTATTTTTAAACACCTGTTACAAAAAATAACTTGATATCTACAATACAGAGACATATAAAAACAACATAAAGGGTACATTCTAAATATTCTACGAACATGACAAAGTAAGAGACAGCCATAAGCTTATTTTTTCAACTGTAAAAACATGCTCTTTGGTTACAGCCTTTTTACCCAAGAACAAGGAAGGAGTTCTCTCTACCTGAAAGTTCATGATGTTATTGAAAGTTTTTGCTGAAGTCCCTTCAGTGAACGGAGATCTTCCATAAATCATTTCATATGCAATGACTCCTAGGGACCACCAGTCACATTCTGGACCATAAGCAGCTTTGCCATCCCCATTCAACCCCGTTAGCATTTCTGGTGCCATGTAGTCAGGTGTGCCAACAGGTAGCTTGGCATTTACCTAGAAGCAAAGATATACCAAGTGAAATTACAGCACTTGTTCATTGTGATCTTGGTAATAAAACAATTTCTTTTTTTTAATGAGACAATTTTCAGCCCTCCACATGTATTTTAAGTATGTCATTTTAAGCAAGGCTGTTAAGCAAAAAAGTGCAAGGAGACTGCTGGTAAACAACAGAAAGTTAATTATTTGGTATAAAAAAACCCAAAAAAATAGTCAAATTATCAGAGCTAACTGTTACTAGAAACTATGAACAGATGAAGTAGAGAAGTGGCACTCTAAAAAGCACAAGATTACTAAATGCTGATGTTTTAAGCAGTATGCATACTCTAGCACTACTGCTTTGACTAGTATTAACAGGGACATCATAACTGAAATTTCAAAAATAGTCCAATTTAGACATAAATATTCCCTGCCCACCACTCCATACTGTGTCATCCCTACCTTTTTACCTTGTGTTCATTATCAGCAAATTATTAGTATTTGAATTTCTGGAGTGCTTAGAAAAGGTAATTCAGGAGCCAAAACTGCAATAATTTTTGCACTGAGTGGCATAAAGGATGAAACAAAACAGCAGGCAGACTAATGCAAAAACCTGAAGATGACTGAAAAGATAATGCGAAGAAAAAAAATAAAAGAAAAATGCAATGCAGAGAAAACTGAAAAGGGAAGAACAGGAAAAACAATATTAAGAGTCATAATACTAAGAAAATGCTACGAAAAAATCAAAATTGTAAAACAAGACAAGAATCTGGTAGAGAAATTCATATTCTTGCTTAGATATATTTTAATTTCAAATTATCGCTTGAAATTATATGCAGTTACCTAAATTTACAAGCAACTTATAAAAAAACCTCAACCAATTCACAGCTTTGAATATAGTGCTTTCTGGCAAGTAAAGCCCAGAATATTGGAATGTGACCCATTTCAATCAAGAGCTCCCCAGACTTCAAAACTATGCCACCTTAGTTACAAAACCCACAATTTTCAGTCCAATTATGATCAATTATAAATCCATGTCCTTCTTTAAACACAGCATTGAACAGTTTCAAGACTCTCCAGAAGAAAGATTTTGTATTGCAGTGCAGCACCATGAGAAAGTAGACTTGCTTTACCTTACTTGTGTATTAAAATTTTACTACGCAAATATAGGTCAACTGAGAGCTGCAAAAGATACTCAAGCTCATGTTTGAAAAGCCATTCATAAATGGAAAAATATCACTGTGAATAGATTCCATATTGGACAAGAAAGGCAGAACAACAAGGTGTAATCAAGGAACAGATATAAAGTTAGTTTTCCCTTTTTGACCAGACTATCCAAACAAGCCATTTTAAATCCACATTATTACCATTTTGTTCACTGTCATTTTGGCAGCTGACCCAAAGTCCACCAGTTTAATGTGTCCTGTTCGGTCAATAAGAACATTCTCTGGTTTGATATCTCTGTAAGCAAGAAGAAAGCAATCAGTCAGTACCTTTCCATACTGTTCCCCACTGTCACATCTAGATAGCAGGATATCCCTTTCCAGCTACACTCAACTGTGTGCTCAGTTGCATAAAATCTTAACAATTGTGAGTCTTATTTCCAACTGTTGTTCTGTTTCCAAGCAAATATGAAAGCAGTAAAGTTTCACTTATTTCATGGAAAATTAATAACGATTGATAGAAAATGGAAAGATAAGGTGGTTTTTCACCTTGTCTACCTTGTAACTGAGTTATAGTGAAGTGTTACGTATCTTTCTTCCCAAATTTCCTCACAACTTATTCTGCACATCTTTCAAATCTAGGCAGCTACCTTGCGTTAGAAAGCCACAGCCTACGCTCTAAGTGCGGCCACTACAGCTGCTTGGAACATAAAATACTTCATAATATTTCCAAAGCCTCAGAATAGAATAAATTTATTAAACACCAACATGACTTGAAAACGCACACAGTAACAGCTTTCAAGCCTTGACATGATCTTTAGAAAACTCTGATATTTAACTACTCCAACATCCTTTACTGCCCTGTTCACCAATCAGCCCACAACAAGTTTTAACAATTACACTAATTTCCCATACTACTTGGTGCTAAAAGCAACAAACTCTGGAAAAGATTTTAATTTTTTATAGTGCAACATTAAGGCTTCTTTTTACTAAGCTTCCAGAAAATATATGTAACAATCCTTTCTTGATATTAGTTTGAACTTTACATCAAAGTTAATGCCTTTAGCTACAATTATAGTTGGAATCTGATTAATTTTCTATTTTCTCCTCTGCTACAGCATGTAAAATACTGTCCTGAAAGAGGATGGAATATTAAAAAAACAAGAATGCATCATTCCAGAACACTTTTTCTGGAACGATACTGATCAAATATTATGTGCAATGCAAAGCAACCTTTACCTACCGGTGTACATAACCCATCTGATGGACACTGTGAATGGCTAAAACCAACTCTGCAAGATAGAACTGCACCATACTCTCATCTAGTTGGTCCTCATATCGGTTTAAGAGTGACAGTAAGTCCCCTCCAGGCTGATACTCCATAACCTACATAAAATTTTAAAGGAACAGATATAGTCCATATATAAAAAAGACACTCCATTCAACTCCTCCATATTCCACTGAACACATATCAAACAGCTGCATGTAACACCAGAAAATTTACGGAAGATGAGCACATTTCAACCATCACATTGTTCTTCAACATAACAATGGCAATAGTGTTCAATAGAGGACAAAAGAAACAAAGACTAGGCATTACCAAATAGAGATTTTTCTTGTCTTGAAATGCATATTGTAACTGTGGAATCCAGGGACTGGTGCTCTGAGATAATATACTGCGTTCTTCCTCAAAAAATGACACCTATCAAAAAAAAAGAAAGTATTCAGTTATATCATGATGAAAATTAATTAGAATACGTTAGAATCCCCTAATTTCAGAAAGATTTGCGTCTGTACCAAAGGCACACATCACAAAAAAAATTACACAGAAAATATTACGTGCTATTTCCTTGTGATGTGCACCTTTAAAAAAGTAATTTTACTCCTTTGTGTTTTCCATTTCCCTCCCACCTTCTGTTGTCTAGCTTGCTTTCAACTGAATAGTCCCTGCAGCAAAGGCCAGCTCCCCTTTAAAACTGGTGAAGCATCTACCAGTCTGGAGTGCAAACTTGATTGGCCTCATCTGAACTGGCCCTAATGAAATAAAACTAATCTCAAAAGAATCAGACAAGCAAACAAGAAGCTAGAGCAATTATAGGGTAGCATCTTACAGCTAATTCAGTAATGAATTCATTGTAAGGTATTAAAATACAAGGCTTTCTTGAAATCATCATCTAGCAACTATTTAATTATTTAGATGCGCAGCCAGACAACAAGAAATTAATTTTATTACAGAAATACTGCTAGTTCATTTAGAACAACATTCCCTGCTTTCACTGACCCACACTCGACAAGATTGATCAAGTGTCGTATTGAGGATAGTATCATACCTTGCTTTCTTGTCAACCTATGGCATAGCAAGAGTAATTTTAGTTTGTCTTAATTTCTGATAGACACAAACAATGCTAAGGGATCTCAGGAGCAACCTAACTGCACCAAATATTGGGAACTACTGATGTAGATACTGCTGTATAAATTCACAAGGTCTCTCATGGAGTATCTCTGTCCTACTTGTCGTCTCATGTCAGTGAAAGATTAACTTCTGTTTCTCACCAAACTATGATAACAACCTCCATTATCCCCTTTTTAAGTTTTCAAGTAACACATTTCTCAAGTTAGTGAGAGGCTCTCCACAAAAATCCAGTCACCAGTTTGCCTTCACACCCACTCTTGACATTCTATGTCGCTCTTTGAAATAAAAAAAAAAAAAACCCAACTCTTAATGAACAGGTTGCCTGAAAAATCAAGCCATTATCAAGCTGATCAATACTGATCCAGTATTTTCTTCATCTGTTTTTAGCTGTCTTGCAATTAGGTGGTAAGGTTTATGAGACAAGGGCCATTTTTTCTTTTGGATGGCACCTCACCCAATAGATTCATGGTCTATGACAATGGCTTTTAAACATAGCAAAAATACACACAAATACATTACTTCATTGAAATGCAGGATGATCCTTCTCAAAATATGTTTTTAACTTAATTCTAATAGTAGTGACAAAAAGAAAACGTTCAATAAATAGTAATTTATCATTCAACTGCCATAACAGAAAAATATACATACATGCTCCTGCGCCAACAAGGACTCCTTGCTCATCACCTTCATAGCATATACATCACCAGTAACTTTCTCTCTTACTACTTTTACATCTGCAAAGTGACCACAGCCAACCACACTCTTTACTTCAAAATCCTTCACATTGGGTTGCAGTTCCCTTAATTCAGCTATAGTCTCTGCATCTATAAAAATAAAATGCTTATTTTTACATTAGCCAACTGGCATTTCATAACGAATACGTAAATGGGGAATAAAACAAAAGAAAAAAACATTTAGTTCCAGACTCTCAAGAAAGTTAAATCATTCCAGAATATGCTTCTTAAAAAAAACCAGTATGCATAAGAACTAGAAAAAGACTATATTAATGCATAGTTAAGACTGAAATATGGTACATACAAAAGAATCAGGAAATGTTAAGACGGTTCCCATAGCAACCATAATTCTGTCCCATTCATAACATCATAGGCTGAGAGCTTCTTTTGTTTCTAATTTCTTTCCAACCATCCTTTACCAATACAAAGTGTATTCTCTAAATACGAAGGCTTTACCCAGCCGACTTCTACAAGTCAAGCGGCAGGGTTTTCTCCTCTGCCTGTGGGAGGCACTAGCCTATTGTCTAACAAATAACCGGAGACGTGTCATTTCAGATACTCAGTTCAAGTCTTCCATTGAGTAGTTTCAACCAGCACGCACTGTGATAATCAATCGCTCTCTGTAGATTGTTCTAAAAATTCTTCAGAGTAGCAGAAAATTACTCTCTTCTAATAATATCTAGAAGCTGTTGGATGGAACTATTACAGAGGGCATGACAAGTTACTTTAAACCAAACAGCTTTCTAGTATATCTTAATAGAAAAATTGATGAACCTTTTTTTTCCTCCCCACAAAGAATCTGAGCACATCACCAGCAAAATATTTACTCCATCAGAAATTATCTCTCTGAAGCACAGAATTACTATTTACAAGTTACACATGCAAAATTCTGATAACACGTAGAATCTAAAAGATTACTTCGAGCTGAAATAGCTCAGTATTACCAAGTCCTGTTCTAGATTTCCCCCTCCCCCCCCTCCCTGTACCTCTAGTCATTGTCCTGCTCTCAATTTCTGACATCCTTCTATTGTGGAGACTTGGAGCTTTGCTGTATGCAGTACTCAGACACTTTTACAGAAAGTGCCTCCTCAACTATAAATATAGTACAGACTAAGAAGGATGCACATTCAAGCCACAGCACTTCAAAGGCCGCTTACATTTGACCTTTCTGGACCTGAACAAAGGCCTTCTAAGATTGCCAAGGTCCCCTTTGCAACGTTGAGCCTGTCCACAAAAAGTCTGATGCTCAAAGTCCTGAGGTACAAACATTAAGAAATCAAAGCAACTAAAGATTTATCTAAACATTCAGATTCTTAAGCACTACCTTTTAAAATTACACCTGAAAATCAGTCTAAACAAACTTACACTTCTTGACAAAGTTGCCAACATGTTTAATTTTCATTAAAGCGGGGTTCCTGCATTCTTCAAAAAGAACGAATAAAGAATCAAGGATGCCTTCCCGGGAGAGAGGAGACATCTGCTGTTGAGTCACAAAGAGCTGCTTCCCCTGGAAAAAAAAAAAAAAAGAAGCAACAGCAGATGGAGTCTCAGACAACAATGAAAATCCTCAAACCAATAACATATGTATAAAGCAGAACATATATTGTCCATTTAAAAATCACTACCTCAGAAATTAGACAAATGATGCGGAAGCATGCGGTAAATATATCAACTCACTATGCCTATCTGGGATAGCTGTTACGGGTATTTTACTTTTAGACAAAGCAGTCCTTTAAAGATTGTTAAAGTTAAAATCACAGCTTTCTTGAAACTATCTACGTCCTACTGATGACTCTGATCTGACTGGCTCTTTTTTTGACATTGTACCATGTGGGTTTTTTCCCCGATGCAAATAGTTTAAGCAATCAGTATCAGCTCTAGAAGGAAAAGCTGCTGAAGCTCAGACAGCAGCTAGTTTGGTAAATTCACCTCACAACAAACCCTCAGCCACATCACCCACGAAAAAAATGCAGATTACAGGATGCTAAATGCCATATTCCATCTTAATAGGGGAAAATCCACTCAGGCTAAAACATTAACAGATGGGCGTAAACGTAAGACCAGCCACTATCCACCGAACTTTGTGCAAACTAGACACACGCTTTGAACTTAAACAAGCTATCCTCTTCTTTTACCGCCTCCTCCAAAGGACCACGCAGGCATGCTTTGAGTGTCCAAAGGAACAAGCAAAACAGTATTTTGATACGACGGGCACGGACACAGACAAAACCGAGATCAGTAATCCCATGTCAGATGCTCTTTACCTGAAAGAGCAGATTTAGCCGAGAAATTCGGCTGGTGATGGGCTCCACCGGTCCCGCCTCTACCGGAGTTCGTGTGCCGCATTTAAACTTCAACATCTTTACAGATTATCTTGTAGAAAAGGTCACCTGAAAAAGAGAACCAGGACTTTCAAGCAGAGGCAATAAAAAGGGGGATGAGGAGGGTACAATTTAAGCGACGTTTGTATTTTCTTGGAGACAAAATTTATTAAAACCATAAAGTCTGAACGCGTCCGGAGTGTAACAGCATTAACGTGTTTTCTGGGAAAGGCGGGGAGGGGGATAGGCTGCGGACGGAAAACAAACCCTGACGGCGCAGAGCCCCCCGAAGGGCGGCGTTTGT